TTTGATGGAAACTTTGCACACTTAAACAGTGATGTTGTATAATTTAACAGTATCATCATAGGTTATCTAAGTTTTAGTAGATTATTGTAGAAAAACCACAGTGATAAAGGTTTGATGCATCATGGAAGATAAGCAATAAGAGATGGTGTGATTTTTGAGTTCAGTCATCTTGTTGTGTTATTCTTTGATTAAAGCTCTGAAGGAGTCATTGCCTAAAATGTAAGATACTACAGTTCTTAATTTCTGAAACATCCCTTTAAAGACTTAAACTACAGCAGTACCATTTTTCTGTCATTGTGTATTTCACATTAAATGTGTTATAAACTACTTTGACAGACTACCTTTAGTCAATTAGCCTATTTCAGACTGAGATGCTTAAACTGCTCCCTGCAGGGAAAAGCGTCTTTATACTTGTCATATAAAAAGGAGTCAGCTTGGATCCGCCTCATTTATCTTCCGTCAATGATGTTTCGTCTCTCATGTTGAACTGTTACAGCAGAAGACGGTGTCTCTGTTTGGTGTGGCATTTCTAAAGGAATTCCTGCACTGAAAATAAAACAGCAATCCAATCTCAATACATAACATTAACATTACAATAGGAAACCACAGGGGGGCAGTTAACACAAGTGTCAGTGTGTGACTGCTGATGAATTAGTTTGCCTGCTAAAGCTGACACGTACTTGTAAATAGCCCAAGTTATTATGCACTCTGTCATGGTGCATTTAATCAACAGCCTATAAGATTCTTCCACAGTGAAACAATCAGCTGCAGGACTGACTGTGAGCTCAGATGGCCAATGAGAGGTGAAACCTTTAGACTATATTGAACACAAATGTAGTCTCTGTGACATCACCTATTGGTTTCAGAAAAAAAGCTAAGGGGCCATAAGGAGACAATCGCCATATTGGAGGTGTTGACTCTGACTAACCTTTGGCTAGTTCAAGCCATAGATGGGTTTCTTGTGTACACTAGATGCACGCGCAACCGGAGGAAAAAGCCTGCTTGGCAGTGAACTGATATCAATGAAGATGTCGTTTTGTTTGTAAGTTCTCCCTAACATAATTGCAATAAAATGTCATTTCATTGAAAAATCGCTTTGTCTTTCATTGCATCACAAATTCAAAAAACACTTGAAATGTTAAAGAATTTCACTCAGCTTACCAGGTTGTGATGTTGCTTTGGATGTTTCTAATATCAGGAGCAGGGTCGTGATGTTAGTAAATGCTAAAAAAGTCAAAGTAAAAATGTTTACAAGGATTTACAGCACTACAGCTTCTTGTCATTTTCTTTCTCCGTTGACTCCGCTAGTTAACAAATAAGGAATGTCCCACTTTCTGCCCCCTGGCTGCACGCGCATATCTACGATGACATTGAACAGAAACCCGTCAATAGCTTAGCTGCCAGGCAAAAAGCTAAAACACATCAAGCACTCCATCAAATCAGCCCAGTTATGGATAGCTCTTGGCTTTAATATGATCAAATAGATTGAGTTATTTATAAAATCACTCTATGGAGTAGAAATCATGTAAAGCGATCAAAACTGTTTTGAAAAGAATAAAATCAAGAGTATGAAATGACTTTCAGATTCATGTCAACTCCTTAAGCAAACTGTCTCCAGCAAACATATCTGCAAAACTTTCTACATTAACAACAACCCTGACTTCTGTGCAGCATCCTGCATAAATTTGAATTGAAAATATTACAGCACTTTACACTTTGCAGTTCATTTGAGGGAAGGAGTTTGAAGTCAGAGGCCAAATACTACACACAAGTGTTCATCTGGAAAGTTGTAGCTGTAATGAATGTTGTTCTGGCAAGGAGGTAGTGTGGGGGTGAGGGCCGCTCGGGAGGAAGAAGACGGCAATATGATCAAGACGTGGGCGTATAGAAGGACATCTGTGCAGGAAGAGCAGAGATATTTGCAGACAAGGGGAGGCTGAATGTGTGAGAGTAAGAGACAGAGGGGAGACAGACCAAAGGATGGAGTGATATTCCTCTATTCCATGAAGACCCTAGAGGTCCGGTTACGGAGCAGGTCAATAACTTTCTATAAGCCTTCATATGTGTTACATTTTCATTGTATGAGGGGATACACAGACACAAATCAAAGACATGGCTAGACATGAACAACACACACGCACTGAGACACACACAAGGGAAAAATACAATCATGGCAAATCTCCAGTTGTCCCGCTGAGAATAACTGTAGTCGTATTCATTTTAAGAAGCAATATTTGCTTGTTGTATGTGTGTGTGTGTGTCCCCTCCCTCTGGACATATTTTGTTGTGGGGGTCTGTTCTCCTCCAGTCATGGTGGTATAAAAAGCTCACCTTAATCTCTGTTTTGCTCTGTCGTATCTGGAAAACCCCCATCAGACCAGGATAAAGGGACAGAAAAACAACAGAATAAAATGTCTGTGTGGTTTTTATTCAATACATTTCATACACTGGACCGGGTTTCTGCCTCTCTGCATTTTTGGCGGCTGATGCTAAGTGTCAGGTAATTCAAAACCAAATGAGATATCACAACATACAGGTTATCAGCTTGCAGGGCAGTTAAAGTTTTGGGAACAACCAGGAACACATCAGCAAAAACTACACATCGACTGCTAACTATGGTGTGGATAGCAAAGCATTTCCTGACTTTACATTCAGTCACTTACAGAAATAAAAATGAAAATATCATCAACCTCATACATCTTTATGAAATGTTCTATAGCAGAATGAGAAAATTTCACAATGATTTCACAAAGTTTTTAGTTTTTATGTAATTCCTAGGCGTTTTAATCTCTCTATTTGTATGCTATTTGTTTTTTGATTGCAAATATAAATATGCAAATATTATGTTGTCATGGCAACCGTGCTAGAGCCCCTGCTTGAACCCATCGTTTTGGGTTAATGTAAGCAGTTGCTGCTCATTACACATTCAGACACCACTTAATGGGCAATTTGAGAGCATTTAACTTTTCCATAATCAATGTGTTGTTATTGCATTTGTTAAGAAGATTGTCTGACTAGACTGCCTGCTGCCGATAAACGATCGACCAGGGCAAGCAATTTAAGGGAAACTGGACAAAAACTACAAATGTTGGGGAGATATAAAAGCATTTATCTCTTCCATTACCTCTGTCTGTGAGGGTAGAGGGGGGTGAAAGTACTGACGGCCAGAGAGGCAGACAGACTGACTGTGTCTGGGGTCTGGACCCAGATTTACATCTAGATCCAGGCCAGTCAGGCAGTCCATCAGCAGAGTCCTCATTCAGAACTCACAGATGCTGCAGGCTGTGGCCTCGTGGTTAACCCGGGGTCTGACAATCTCTTCCACAGCATCAGACTGGGACTCTGAGTCCTGCTGATGGGAATCAGGTGATTCACGGAGTTATGGCCACAATCCTTACCCCCTTTAGTTCATATGTGTGTGTGTGTGTGTGTGTGTGTGTGTGTGTGTGTGTGTGTGTGTGTGTGTGTGTGTGTGCGTGTGTGTGTGTGTGTGTGTGTGTGTGTGTGCCTCCATTAGACAGTATTAGATGTTGGACCTCTGCTCTGTCCCAGGGGTGGCAGCAGATTGAGCTGAGAAGATTACCCAGAAGGCTGTGCAGTGTGGTGTGAGGCGCATACGGCCCAGTTTCTGATGCATGAGTGATCTATAAATTCACTTTGTGCCTGAGGGAGACCATTTTTAGAGTATTTATGTTCCTCTGGACCACAAGTGCTTTCTCAAAATGGGAATCACATGCCAACACATTCTGGCAGTCATGCACTTACACCAAACTTTTGGGTTTATTATTGAGACCTGAACAACCCTATCCACACGTTCATGTCTACGTTTTAAATGCTTGGACCCTATACATTTCAAATATGGGAAATTTCAATGTTATTTGATAAACCAAGGAATAGTTTGATTTCAGCCCTTACCTGTTTTTAAGATAGTTTGGTGTAGAATAACATAGCAGGCTGACACATGCGGAGCCTTGATTTCAAACTCACTGTACAACCTTGGGAGGATATTTTCAATAAGGCAGGCTCCACTTCAAAATCTACCTTCACACATTTTTTAAGATGAGCAAACTCTATTATCCAATGCTGTTAGAAGTGAAGAAATATTTCCTTAAATACTAAAGCTATGTCAGAGTTCAAGTAAATGCCAGCAGTTTTTTAAAGAAATATTAGGGTGTTTTTTCACTGGAGGAAGTTTTTTTTTTTGGTTGTTTTGCTCCATATTTTTGTGTAAATGTGTACCAGAATTTTATGGTTCAAATATCTGTAACAGACAGATTTACAAATCAAATATACTTTATATAGTCTATAGTAGGCTACATTTAATGAGATTGTTTTTACTGTTATTCAATTACAAACCTCAGAGCTTTAACATCCACTTGGGTAATCGACAAAACTACCTTGAGTATGAAACTGTGACAGCCATTGATTATATTAAACACACACACAAAAAGGCATCAGGTATAACCCTCAAAATGAAGCAGGGACATTTTTTTCTTGTTTGTAAAAAAAAACACACAACTCGAGCAATACAAACATCAGCAGAGAGGAACTGCTTTACCACCAAAACTTACAAACCCAAATATCGTTACAGTAACTTTAAATTATATTTACGGCGTCATCTTTTTTGGTCCTGAAAAAAATTAAGCTTGGGAGTTTCATTTATTATTTTAAAATCTTTTACACAGGACTCTGACATTTTTTTGTGGTTATTTAAACAACATATGGCTGTTGGTGACAGACCTGATTATAGATATCACACTCATACTTCATGCTACTCCTGATTTAGTCAGTGCCCAGGCTGGGTGTCCCTTCCTGAAAAAGTCTTGATGTGTCCTGAATTCAACAATACAGCTGAGCTCTAATCATATGTTAGCTATGAAAATAAGGACAGTTGTTAAATGTTAAAAAGAAGTGCTGCTTTACTCTGCAAAGTAAATGTCTGTACACAAAAAGATGTCTTGCTCGGAGGCTATCATAAAAAAGGAAGAGGACTTTTTCATCCACATTGCCAGAGTCGTCCTTTACAGAGAAATAGCTGGAGCATATCTTGTTTGGACAGGACAGCGCTGCAGACTCTGACTGATGGCTCTATCTGTTATACAAAGTGAATAAGAGACAGAGAGCTAATGAGTGACCAGCGACAGGGAGACACTGCAGAGAGGAACAAAAATGACTGACGTGCTCCAAAGTAGGTCACAGGATATTTTCTACATTGTTTTCCCCTTGCTGATTGCCATCCATCCATCCGTCCTTCCATCCATCTTTCCATCTCTTCATCATCCATCCATCTCTTTTTCTTTTCTCTGATCCACCATTTTCAAAGCCATTTTCCTCTCCCATCTCTCTCCCTCTCATTCATTGTTACCTCAGTCTCCCCCTTCTTTGGCTCTCTCTCCAGGTCCTTCAAACCTCTCAGAAAATCCCTTTAGCAGAGCAAGGACCTTTTCCCTTCCCCTCCTCTTCTTCTCTTGCAGGCATCTATTTGGTGCAGTTAATGGATAGTTGAGAAATGACTACAGGCAGGAGGGGGTGATGAGGAGGGAGGGGGCTGGTGTGGGTTTCTCTTTTGTCTGTGAAATACTATGGATAGCAGACAGGCCAAATCACACCACAGGCCTTTCAGAAAGCTCAGGACACATTTTCATCCTGATATTTTGCTCTTCTGAATTTATTCCTTGGATATATGAATCCTGGTTTCAGAAGCCAGTCTGAAACGATTGCTCATTCAAAGAGGAAGAGGTGTCCATTGTCCTCCTATGACAGCCCTCTTTAGCCTCCCTCTTCCTCCTCCTCCTCCATCATTACCCCCACTCTATCTGTGGTATTGTGGCTGGCTTGTTGTGTCCTCCAGCTACTCCCAGTCTGTTTCCATTTGAATCTAATGGTTAGATAATGACTACACATCTCATCTTTAACTGCTGGCTGATCAGGGTAATCTTTCTCTAGGTCCTAATTGATTTGCTCAGTACGAAGCCTAATAAGATCCAAGGGAATAGTCATTAAGTGTTTGTAAGTCTGGGAGTTGCTTTTTCTTTAATGAGGGCTCTTATGTAACAAAGACAGCAATTATACAAGCCAAGGTAACAGGATGCCTTTCCACAGAGCCCACAGAGCAGGTCTGGCTTGTGTTGAGAAGAAGGAATGAAGGGGAACATGAAGAAGCATGGGTACAGATAATGGCAGCTCGAGCTTCTTAGTAAATAATGGTTTGCTTCAAGACTCGTTGAAAGACCACAAGAAAGTCTTTAGTGTCTTCAGGAAGTCAACTGAGGCCTCAAGTGTGGATCACCTTCAAAATAAGCATAAGACAACCAAATTATTATTGTTACACACAGCTGTTGCATTTCATTAGATCAAGAACTGAAGGTTCAAACTCAATCCCCCCAAAAGTGTAAAATGTTGATAAAAACATAATTTGATGGTTTGCAAACAATGAAAGTCTTTTAGAGTGAGATCAAAGTGATGGTGTCTGGGCTACACTCTTATCAGATCTGAGCAATTTGTGATAGAGAAATAAATCAATAAATCAAATCTAGGGTATCTAATCTGGAGACAGTTTGATGATATATGACATTTCAATGCCCCTAATAAAGCTCTGCCCCCTTATTATGACCAGAAAGCAACTCACACTAGACAAAAATCCCACAATATGTGGCTGAGGGATGAGCATTATAGTTGAGGCTGCTTTGAACCATGGCCCAGCTTTTTCCTCTTCAGTAACATGTGGTAAAATGTCTGAAGAGGTAGAGGGTAAATACAAACATCAACAATCTGATTCTCAGGAAAAATTAGGAAAATTAGCAAAATTAAGACCCCCCTTTTTAAACTATTGTTATTACTATTGCTTAATTTGGCCCAACTTCAGCCAAAGGCTCAATAGAGTGTTATTACATACATCCTTTTAAAGACCCACTCAGATAAAAATCATGATTTTCTTGTTGTCTACATGTTTATAAGGCATTTTCCTGATGCTACAGGACATATCATGAGAAAAATAAGAGTGATTTCTGGGTATTTCTGCATCAAAATCGGTGTGAATCTCTTGCTAACCCAAACAACATGTTCAGACACAGTGAGATTTCCTATGTCACAAATCCAAGCTCCACCCCCGGAGCCCTGTCGTGCAAGCCGACTCGGAGCAATAGAGAGGACAATCGCGGAACAAGCGTGTGCGTTAACAGATCACAATGCTCGTAAAAAAGCTAATTATGATATTAACTTTCATCGTATCCCCAAAGACATTAGTGTCCGAGAGCTGAATAGCTCCTATGTTACCTGCCACTTCTGCTACACTGGCAATGTTAGGCTGCAAGCCAGCGTGAAGACAAGTGAGCAGAGCAGTGCTGTTTTATCGCCCATGACTCAGAGGTAAATTGCTAATGAGATACTGGAGCTCTGCAGAAGAAAAGCCTTTGAAAATGACACAAGTAATGCGATTTTTGGTAAAAACTTCATATTCACAATTTAAAGACCACAGATAAAACTTGAAGTTGTAAAAAAAAACGTGATCGGATCAGGACTTTAAAGCTTCTTCAGAGATGAGAGTATGAATAATCTGGTTAAAAACGTCTACAGTTCTACAGTATAAGTTCTACAGTATAACATCGGGTATATTGATTCACTGAAAATCTTCATGAAAAGGCACCACTGTTAGTGTTATCTCCATTATCACAGGGAACAGCTGTTTCTTTTCCTTCTATGGTGGCTTGGATGAAAAAATAGCCTCTGAAATACAGTTATGGACAGGGGAATAGCTTGGGGAAATAAAGCCAAAATTGGATCTCGAGAGTCTTTTCTCTAAGCTGTAACAAAGCTGGCGTTTTTGAAGGGAGTAATGCACAGAGCACAGTGTGAATAATGTGGCCTTGTATCTATATAAATCACCATTCATACTGAGAGGTGGAATAGTGTGGATTAGATGTGAGCTGGAGTTAAAATATGAGTGCCCTCAAGCTGTTGCTGTGTGCAGTTTTACTGAACAATGTTTTCATTCTAAAAATAGATTAAAGATGTCTGGCTTCCTTTGCCGCTCTCTCCTCATTCATGCACTCAAAATGCGAATGGGTGACATAATCGAAAGGCTATAAAATGATCTTCTTTTATGTGCAGAAGCAAATTATATTTTTTTCCTTCTCTGGTGCAAATAGGAAGAATATTCCTATTGTTCTGTCCAACACACTTCCTGATGGGACCCAAATCTGAAAATCTTCTGAGAGCCCGTTCCCAGAGATGAGAGGAAGCAGAATATGTTAGGGGGAGAGTTGAGAGAGAGCATGTGCAAACGAGAGAGATGGAGAGATTGAGCATGAGGAGATAGTGAGAATTCTATTGAATAATTTGATCTCATATGAAGACTGTAAGCCTGAATGAGCCTATTTCCTGTCATTGTGGGAGAGAGTTTGAAGAGAATCTGATGAATGTGGGACCGTGTAGCAGCAGTAGCAGGTACCTTTAAAGAACAGTGTTAGCTTGTTAAATACCAGCTCTATGGTCTCCCTCCTCACTCATAACCATATGCTGTAGAAGATAAGACTTTCCCTTTCATACCTGGATATTTACACATGGAGCGACTGATAATGGTTTTGGAATTATGTGCAACAGATGGAGTAATGGCCTTCCTGTTGTGCACAATAAAGTGCTTTTACATGCTGCTCAGGAATGTGAATGACTATCCTGAGAAGAAAGATAGTCACTATCTGTGCATCTTACATTATTGTCATTTAGTGCACAAGTCTCCTGTGAGTGTGACTTAAAGAGCAAAGAGTCTTTTCGTAGATAGGAAATGTGTGTGAGTGCCTGCAGGGCCAGAAGAGGTGGGTGTGTGTAGAATCGCACATAGAAGTAGACATTTGAGTATGTGATCATCCGCCCGCCCGCTGAGGGAGACAGTGGTGTGAAATAGAGACACAGAGCACATGCCTCTAGCTCTTCTTAGCGCTACTTTCACTCTGCTTCACCTTTGCTTTCCAGGCTTTGCTTTACTAAACCACTCAAGCTTTCACCACTCAGCAACTACAGCAGCAGATAGAGGCATACACCACGAAAATATCTCAGGCTGCCGGGGATAACAACCAGCTGTCAAGCAAACATGCCCCGCTTTTGTTGCACCAGTTCGTAATTCTATCCTCTAGTTTAATGCGCATTCATTTTGCACTTGCTTTCCCCAATTTTCCAGTTAAGCATCTTTAAAGTTGGTCAATTTCTTTGTTTCTATCTTTGCAATTGAAGTAAATGAGAATATGTGTGACACACACCTGCTGGCATCACAGCAAAGGAGCCAAAAACATCCAGGTCCTCAGCAGTTATTAACACATAAACTCATGCTAGCATAGAATAAGAGTTAAGACTATAAATATCAAGTAAAGATTAAAACACACAGCATATGGTTGTAGCAGAAATCTATGTGGAGCATGTGGTTAAATTAAAACAGTGGAATCAATTTACACGTTTGCTGGGAGGTGTTTCTACAACTTTGTCAGCTACCTTTCGATCAAACATTGATTTTGTTCACCATTAAGAGCCTATTATATTCATTTCCTTTCCATCTCTTTAATTACCTCCAACCAAAGGTAGGGATATTTCAAAAGTTTCACAAAAACTCATCTTGGTATACAAAAAAAGATAATAATTATGTGTTACTTGCAGGGAACTTTAAAGCTTAACTTTAACACCTGACTTGTTCTTATATATGTTCCATGTAGGGTATAATTTATACTTTCACCAGTGGTCATTCTATATGTGTGATCAAGTTCTTTCTAGAATTGCCTTTGCCCTTCAGAATTAATAACCGTCCAATCAGAATTAAGTGTTGAACACAGTTAAGTGATGAGTAAGAACTGTTACAACAAATAAAGGCTGATGACCTTGAATCTACCATTAAAGCCAATGAAATAACTCTCTGTCTAATATCTGTAAGATCTCAAGCTCAGAACTGCACTGACTGCTGTTACACAGAGCTGCAGCAGTAGTTTTTTGTGTGTCTGTTATCGAACACAATAATGAATGCTGTGTGCAGCTCCTGTCCGTTTGCAGTGTAAACAACAGAGAAACGGCTTGTTCTTTGGCAGCTGTGGTTACTATACACTACACACACACACACACACACACACACACATGATCAGCACAAATACAATCATCACTCAGAGTCATTATGATCACTTTTCTACTTTCACTTTGAATCCCCTGTACTGTGTAAAAGCACAAAAACACCCCAGAGTACATTCACCTTACTCTGTAGTCTTCTTTTCTGAAGCCACACTCCGACTGTGAGCTAATAAATATGGACATTTTGTGTTTATCTGCTATAACAGCTCTCACTTCTGTTATATCTGTGGGCATCAGCTGTGTAAATAAATATAAGCTTTGGCTCTCTCCCAGCCTTTAAATAGCAAGGGAGCATGGGTAAAACTGGTATCCTATGATGAATAAAGGCATCATAACCGGAACATCTTTATGTGCGGTGATGCAACAGCACTTTTACAAATGTGCGCACACACACAGACATGCACGTACGCACGAACGAACGCACGCACGCACGCACGCCTATACACACGGGAAAAAGCTAAAAAAAAAGTGTGGGACTGTGCAATTACATGGCTTGTTTGCTGAGTGTGTGTACATGTGTGTGTGTTTTAAAAAAGTGACAGCTCATCTGTGTAATCCACCCAGCTGACCTTTGACCCTCACATTGGCTTTTCCCATCATCCTATTGTCTTCTCTCCAGGACCCAATCAGCTGTCCCAGGACTGTCTCCCACGACAACCATGGCGCTGACCAATGGGCTGAGCTCTGTCGGTGTTCTGTGCAAACTGGACTTGTTTCAAATGTGTGCTCAGGCACAAACACCCACAGACCCACACACACACACACACACACACACACACACACACACACACACACACACACACACACACACACACAGACACACACACACACACTGCAGGCCTGGGAGCCAACAGATCGTCCCATTAAACTGAGAAATTGTCCAGGCTTTTGTTTGCTCATTGGCTGTGAGCTCGGAGGTCGGACATGTCTTTTCTCTTCACAAGGGCAAGGAAAATGTGATGTTCTCAGGAGGTTACCGGGGAAACGCAGTGCTTCTTTCCTGTTAAATTACTCATTTAATTTTTGTCTAGTTTCCACATTCTTTTATCTGCCACTTATATTGATTTCCCATTACTTCCTCCTGCCTTTTTATGATTTTTAAAAACATTTGTGTCACACCTATTTGTTTTCTGCACTGATAGAGTGGGAGGGATCAGTTTTTCCATTTCCATACTCCTCCTAAGACACTGCCTGCTGAGGCCTCCATAGTGAACAGGAAAGCCTGTCCCCCTCCTCTCTCACAGCCCTCTCTTTTTACAGTAATCCTCCCTCTCCTTCCTCCATCACGGCCTCCCCTCCTCACACTGTATCTGCCTGTTTGTCTGTTCACCCCCCCAGCCCATCACCACTCTTTCTTCTCCTTTTCTTCCCACTGACAGACACTCGATCACATATGCAGACACTTCAAACATTGCTCCTTTTCAAAGGAAACCTTGGATGGAGCGCTCCAGAGAAACTCTGAATAAGTTATCAAATCTGCAGCAACATTTCTCTTTTTACCCTCCGTGTTTTGGATTGTGTGTTTGTGTTGTGTTTTGCACACATATTTTTGTCCTTGTTTGATTTCCCTTTCCTCCTTATCTGCAAGGCCCCACTATTATTAGACTTTTTCATTCTGTTTGCTTTGTTCCTGTCTCTTCTTTTTTTACCCCCACAAATTTCTATTTCTATTCATTCCAAAATGTGCATAATAATTGCTTTTGCTCTATATCTTTTGCCCACTCTTCCCAGGAATCTGACAACACTACACTGCACATTAGGCCTCGGCGCGATTATCACAGAAATTCTCCCTTCATTTAATTTTCAGCTCAAGCAGAGTGAACATCTGTCTTACTTTACTTTGGGACGGCAGCTGTGTGAAGCAAAGTTGCATTTTTACAGATATCACATGCATCAGTTGCTGGAGGGCAGCAGAGAGACAGGTTGGTTGTTTGAGGTGTTGCGCCTGTCGACTCTAAAATAAGTTCTTTCCATGGTAACTCTGCAGGTCTGTTAATTGAGTGTCAAAGTGTGTGATGCTCCATGATGAGGAAACAAATGCATGCAATAGTCCCTATAATCACATCACACAGCCGCCTCTGGAGATGACAGTAAGAGCTATTTAATCAAAATGTTAATGATATGAGCTATTATGAAACTGTAGAGCCAGGGGACACTAACACACAAGCAGAAATATGTCAGAAGTTGAAATGTGCGGAGGGTTTTTTACAGAAAATGTTTGATGGCTTCAAAAAAGCCATGTAATCCAATTCAAAGTGACAGCAACGTAATCTACCCACACATGGATACTAGTGACGCACATCTCCAGTGTGAAAGCTATGTGGGATCGTTGGAGAGAAAGCAAGAGTGTGCGGCGCTCATTCTCTGAAGGAATAGCGCTGCTCTTCTCAAATAATCACTCTGTAGAATGTAACCTTGAAACAAACACTTGTTGAAAATAGATGAGAGTCAGAGAGGCGTGGATGCTTTATGACATTGAAGAGTTATGTATCTGTTCAACAGGCTCTGGGTTCAGTCCTGGCCATCAGAGAGAAACCGGGCTGAATCACTCACAAAGTCCTGATGAATAAATGCATCAGAACATGAACAGGTCACTCAATCGCTCAGTGAGTCTGAAAGTTTGACGGTAAGCACTAAAGCGGTAAACACTGAATGAGAAATATCTTTGAGTGTAGCCCCCTTGTGAAGATTTAAATCAGACCTAAACTTTAGTTTTCTGCAGTACACAACCTCCATTTTATCAAAGTCCCCCTCTGCAATTAATCTACTAGATACCGAATGAAAGTAAATCTATTTCATACACATTGAATACAAGAAAACCATCATTTAAGCAAAAATAGAAGACTGGGTTTTCAGTGTATGCATTTTTTCACGTAAAAAAGAGAAGATTACCCTAAATGAGAGAAGCAATGCAGAAAAAGTTTGTTTATTTTATCAGTAATGAAAGACATGCTGTTGAAAAGATAATCATGTTTGGATTTTATTTGCATATCCAATTAAATATCAAGTGTGCAGAGAGAATTCAGACCATAAATCAAGGTTGTCGCAAAAAAGACTGCACATTGAAGTACATTTATATTTTTACGTATTGAGTGCACAGATAAGTAGAAGTTTGAACTTCAAAGGACACATTTTGACACCTTAAAAAGGCCCTTAATGGACCATTAAAATGTGTACTCATGTGTGTTTGCAGTAAAGCAAACACTTAAAGTTTATTCAGTTTGAACTTCAAGTGACCTTCAGTATGTACTGATTCAAGTACACATAAAAGTGTTAACTTTCAAGTACACACCAGTTTGCATTTTCGAATATCCTTTGTGGTGTTACCCTAAAAATGAGCAACTTCCATTACACTATTAGAATAAATCTGGGATTTAATGCACATTAAGAGAATCTTTATGCAAACACTTTTAGGAACACTAAAAAACTAGCTTTTTAGTTGACTCATAGGTTTGTGTACTCTATTAAGAGTACTCTGCAGTGTGATTTTTATGTGTCATACCAAAGTCTGTAATTCAGATTACAATCTCTGGTTTAAGTGCTCTCTTTGTAAGAAGGAGCTGTAAACATATTTAAAAGTACATTACATACATACTTCACAGGGATCACTTTCAAGGTGTTTGCACATTTTATTCCCTTAAAAGTGAAAGACTGCAATCATCGATGGGCAGTAAGAATATTTCATTTGAAAGTGTGCACTTACGTATAAGTGCTTACTTGTACGAGTGCATAATAGGCGGCAGTAGCTCAGGAGGTAGAGCGGTCATTCAATAACTTAATAGTTGGCGATTTGATCCCTGCCCTATCCATAGTCTGTCCGTTGTGTCCTTGGGCAAGACACATAACCCACCTTGCTCCCAGTGTGTGTCCTCCACTAATGTATGATTGTGAGTGTTTTGTGGTCGGGGAGGCCATAGGTGCAAAGCTTTTCCTCCACCACCCCAGCTTCCTTCTTTCCAGTCTAAAAGCTCTTTTTTTACGTGTTGCGTTGCTATCTCAGAAATGCCATAGGATGTTGCTGGATGAATGTTTAGAGCATCCTTGGAGCTGAGCCATTAGAGCCAAGCATAACTGCCAAAAATGGTTAAATCTTTGATAACAATATTGAAATGTAGTATTATTTCCAACTTAAAGCACAACAGTTTAATGTAGTGACTCAGTGTGGTATTGGAGTTTATTTCCTCTGTGAGCCAATGAGGTGACTGTGGAGTAGTCTTGATGAAACACAAGTAAACAGTTAAGAACTGTATATATAATTTGTTCAGGTTGTATTATAGCTTTAAAGACTTGGGGTGTGATAATGAAGATAGAAATAGCTCAGTACACCTTCACATTACAGAAAAAAAGCCTCTCCCACTGCTCTTGCTGACAGGCCAAGGTGCTGGATGTCTGCTTGAATCCTTGTCACTCTTCCTAACATCCTTGGCCATCCTGTTTTCATTTGACACCTTGTATGAAATTTCTAAGACTGCAGATTACAATTTTTTCCCCAGAAACACTCGGTAGTTCAAAGAATCTGGCTATGAGTTGAGCAGACTCTATTTCTTGTTAACAAGGGCCCTCCTCAATTACTCTCCATGCAGACACTTGCTAAAATAGCCACAGAGCCCCTCTTCCTCCTCCTCCTCCTCCTCCTTCATCCATCCACCTTTATTATTTAGCACCATGGGGATGTGTGTTGCCATGGATTCTGTTGCCATGGCTACAAACAACTACGCAGATGTACAGGAAGTGGAGAAGGCTGGAGGAGAAACAGAGCATGGAGCGGGGGGTTAAGATATGGCTTAACCTTCTCATGGTGGAGATCCAGCAGTTATATGTCAGGGGGTTCAGGGTGTGGGGTTAAAATGACAAGGTCAGATAGTTACAGCAGATGAATGTCAATGCAAGCCTCCAAGGGACAGGAGAGACATTAAGAGACATGTCTGGTATTCTTACAGGTTTCTTCATGGTGCCCTGGTCTTACCCAGAGGGGACATTTTCTGATCTCGAATGAAGGAACACAAAAATCCTTTTTTCTTATTCCAGAGCTACTCCTTTGTTTTGGTCTGAGGAGGGAACTAGATGAAAAAGAGCTGTGATTCCTCCACATGCAGCCTTGGAGAGCACTGGGACAACTGACTGACTGAAGTGAATAAACGTGCATCTGTGTCTCTTTGGTTCACTTTCTTCCTGGCAACGTAGAAATCAAAAGATAAGCGGCAGACATCTTTATCTCTGTACCGTTCCTTCTTTGTATTTGAATTGATTAAAGGACACAAAGGACCTATGTGGACATTTCCTCTCATCTTTGACAGCGGCACCTTAATGACATCACAGGAACAAGGAAGTCATATTCTGGCTTGTTAAATCAATGGCGGATCAATAAGCTTACTGATTCTCTCAACAACCAACCCTTTCCACAACTCAAACAGGAGCATTAATGCCAACAAAGGTCAGAAAACATTCACTAAAACAGCTTAAAAAATTATAAGGATTTCAATTTTTAAAAATAAAAAGCTTTACATACATACAAATATCTTGAATTCTTGTTTTAAGATTGATAAATGGAAGATTATTTAAAAATGTCTTAAATGATTCCAGAGTACCCCGCCCATCTAAAGTGGAGGGTTTTTTTGATTATTATGTTGTCTAGAGCACCACCTTGTGTTTAAAAGACAGAGGTTAGCAAGTGTCTGTAGTCAGTTTATTCTCTCTCTCAGCAAATCACCTCATGTCATATTTTTTGTCCCTTATTGACCATTAAAAAACAACAACAAAAAAAAACCTAATAGCCAAATTTCTGTCCAGTTTTCTTCTTCAAGTGAAATCCTTGACCTACAGGATTCCATCATACTGTGAGATATTGAGTAGATTGTGTTATATTGCTGAGCAGCCCTCACACTGACACACTGGATGAACTCTCTAAACAGAGTTTAAAAATGGCAGCTATCACATCCTTCAGTGGTGATATACTGGTCTGTCTCCATTTAGGCAGGCTGGGAAAATCAATGACAGTCAACAGTAAGCCAGGAGTACGCAAAGTAAACAGTTTTCTCTGCATATTGAACTATCTGTTTGAACAACTTCCATATTCTCAGGATGCTAATCCTACTGTGCAAATGCAGATTATAAGGTTCATTGTACAGGCTTACACTTTGCATCCATGGCTGCCGTCTATTTCTGTGGGCGCAGTTATGTGTGACTGTCTTTAGGAATGAGCCAGACTATATTACACCCTGCTCCCTCCCTCAGAAGCTGTGCTAAAGTAACAGCTGATGTCAGTGCTGCTTAAAGACATACACTCACACACGCACAGCCACACACACACACACACACGCGCGCGTGAACACGCAAACACTTAGGCTATAACCTGCCTGCCATTAGGCTGCAGCTTCAAGGGCACAGCAGAAACCAGTCAAAGGGGAGGAGGAGGACTCCTGCACCTTCCTCTCCCTGTGACACCTCAGCTCTTGGCACAAACTCCTCAGCACGCTCACAGAGCCACACTCCAAGACTCAAATCCCAAATTTAAAGCAGGAAGAGGAAGGGAGGGCGGTTATCTAAGGCGCTCAGCACCCCATGGAGCTACACTGTTTTCCAACTGAGACCCCCACCACAGTAAGCTCCTGCTCCACGGACCCTCTGTACGACAACTGCCCACCTTTCGCCCAGCAAGGGAGGGCCAGAGAGAGGGAAATGGAGAGAAGGGTTGTGTGCCCGGCTGTAACCAGACTCCCAGGCCCCAGAAGCCCTCAGCCTGGTCTGGCCCCAGCTGTGGCTGAGGCTCCTACATTGGTCGGAGGGGGACGAGGGACTGGCACCTGGCCAGATCACAGCTACTGCAGCTGGAGAGGAGGCCTGGGAAGAGCAGGCTGGGAAGTAGAGCTGGATCCGGAAGTAATCAGAGCAAGAGGAGGAGAGAGAGGAGGAGGAGGACAGGGAGGTAACTGGGGAGTTTATCCTAAACACAGTCCAAATCCATCCCAGAGTGAGGATCACAGGAGTGCTCTCTCTGTGTATGATAACCTTCCTGAAGCTGTCACTCCGGACAGCTTCCAAGAGGTGTTTGATATGGAAACGAGCATCACTGAGGACATGCAGGAGCAGATGTGCAGAGGGTGGGCCTCAGAGCAGTTCCAGGGGCTGACGGAGGATGATAAAAGCACCTGGTCGTCCTGTGAGATCATCCTCGCTGATACCAGTTCATGCAACCAGGACCATAACCCAGACCAGGACAAGGAGCATGAACAGGAGCCAGAGCTGGACTCAGGATCCCATGGATCTAAGCAGGAGGACCCTGTGTCACCTCCTTATTATTCTAAAGCATGTTCCTCTAAGTTGTCCCAAACTGAGAGTAGGGTTTTGTGGCCTTTAGCGGAAGCCCAGCACCCACAGGACCCAGCCTGGTATCCCAGAGTACCCCCTCCTGTACCACTGGCTGACCCCTCAGCGAGTGCCCTCCGCAGCCTCCTCACCAGCCTCCAGCAGCAGATAGTGAGACAGAGGGAGGAGTATGAGGAGCGAATAATAAGGTACTGTTACTTTTGTTTTGTATTTCAGTTTGGACTTTAGTTCACTTGAGTATTTCACTTGAGAGATCACGGGCGGAAAAAGAAACGTTGTCCAGTGAACTTGTGCCAGTACTTTGTGCTTCAGTAATAAGCTTTCGGTTCACTGAGTTGTCTATGAGAATTTTTTCACCCCTGGGTGTATTTCCAGTGTAGGGTCACAATGTTCCCGGCCTGGGGAGTGTGTGAGTCTGTGTGTGTGTGTCCATTCAGCTGTGCTGCTCTGGTCACAGTTGACCCTAAGCTTCACCCTGTATCCTGTTTAGATCTTGTAGATTCTCTATAAATTCCTCAGTGATGAACTTTGTACAGAAAACTGTCAGAAAACAAGCTTCATTATCGTTATTTTAAGTTTTCACTTTTACCTAAATTCATAATCAACCTCTTTTTCTTGTGTACTTACAGGAATAAAAATACATCAGATGATTCATTTTTAATACTGACATTTATAATATGAAGTTCTACTAAATCAGAGGTCCAGGTTCCAGCGGGTGGTGAGCAGTTTAATCCTCTGAAAAAGAAAGCACAGGCTGTGTCTGACCTATAGGAACAGCTCATGACACTGGAAAGAGTGCTAATTTAAGGGGCCATGCTGCTGACCTAGACACAACACATACCTCGTTTACTACTGATATAGATAGAGCGGGTCTCTATTTAAGGTCGCCAGTGCTTGTGGCCAAAGCAGGAGAAAATTTAGATTCTTTAAGCCTGTAATGCCGCAGAAAATGAGTGTACGATATAGATTTAACTGTGCGTACTCACCAGACACATTAAGCCAATTCTACAGCGCCGTCTAACCATACTAGACACCATATACCTCACCAGTTAAAGCAACTCGCTTCTGTTGCTTTAGCAAATACAACACTGACCTCTCTCTTCATTGGCACAAAGTTTTCAGACTTTTAACTCCCTTTCATTTTTCTTCTTCTTCTTCTTCTTCTCTGCATGTCCTCCATCAGCCTAGAGCAGAGAAATGAAGAGCTGCAGGTTGAGGTTGTGCGGTTGAAAACAAACCTGGTCCAGCAGCGGCACTGGTACCAGGTGGTCCAGGCGAAGATTGTGGAGTCTGAAAGAGCACGGTCAGCCGCAGAGCTACGAAACGCAACTCTTCAGAGGGAAATGGAGCAGTTCTTTGACACCTTCGGCGAGCTCAACAATGAGGCGAAAAAGACCGAGTGTATTGTTAAAAGCTTCTGAGCAAATAAATAGGAAACTGTATGATATTGGACAGTGTGTGCAAAGAGGACAAACGGCACAGGACTGGCTAGAATTCAAACTTAAGGCTGTCTTTTGTCTCCACATACGCAGAATGTTTACTTTCCTAATGGGAAAAAAGGTTTTGTCATGAAGCACATAAGAAATATTCACATCAATTAAAAAAAATGTTATCACTGATGTCCACTTTATTAGTTTTTTAAGGGCAAGAGATGTTGGCCAAGTGATTATACTGAGGTCATGGCAATCACACAGGACATCTCTGAAAATGAAAGGAGAAACAAACTCAACAAAAACGTGACTTTGACAGTGAATATATCGAAGCATTTTTAAACATGGTAAACACACAAGGTCTTGAGCACAGAAACGTCAGTCCTTTTCTGATAAAATTTTGGGAGTTAACTCCTCTGGTCATTTAAGGCATGACTGCAGGTACAAGGTCATGGTTTGAAAAAGGAAAATATAGTGTACAGCATGGTGCTTCAAGTCCTCGGTGACTCGGTAGTGTCGTATTTCTGCATGTCCATCACACTGTGCAATTAGTTCTGCATAAAGCAGCTCGGCAGTCCAAAACCAAGGTCCATCTTTTATGTGTCCATCTTGAGCTCCAAGGTCTAATTTTTCATTCAGGATTCCTCAGTCTCATCCTTATTTTCAACCACAACATGTCTGCTTTTTCTTGAAGGGACATCTTCTTTGATACAAGTTGCCTTTGCAACTGAGCAGTCCTTACGGATGATTCAAAGGAAAAGAAGAGGGTTTTGCGATGTACATTTTGATAACACACACACACACATATAGGGTTACAAAGCAAAAAATGAAAAACTTGAAAACAAAAAAAACAAACCAAACGAAACAAAGGTCTGCACCAAACAGGATCTCAGAAACAAGAACATCAAGGTACTGTAAGTGAAAGAACTGACCTGAACGGTTTTCTTTTTATAACAATAACTACAGTAACTTACTGGCATCTTTAATGCCTTCATGCAAGATAAACACATGTATTTGTGTTTGACTGCTTTAACATTTTTTTCTACATGTTGTCTGATTCATGAAAATGTTACTAATGGAATGATTTAGAAAAAGAGCAGCCAATGCACTGATATGTTGTTGAAATGCTTTAAAAAGAGGCAGAATTCACTTCCGCCTCCACGTGATTCTGTGCAACATTTTGCAAGAACACAAAAATAAATAGAACATGTAGTATTTTACGGCTCCCGAATTTACAGGCTTAAGTTCTTTTGATGTTGTAAGTACACCATGTGTCGGATGGGGATGACTGAAATGTGTTTCTACTGGTTTGTTGCATTACTTAACAAAAACAAGCACATCTTATTTACGAGTATTTAAAGAGCCACTAAGAGTGTCAGATCATCTTCTTTACATACAGTACATTATATCAGGAAATAAAACTGTAACACTGCAACCACAGCTCCTCCTAGCTGCCAGGAGGAGAATGTCAAAATCCACATCACTCAAGCTAATGAATTTAAGAACGCTGTGCAGAAAGCACCATTTTAGAGATCTGCAATACTTAGAGCTAGCTAAAGGATCGATCAAACTTTGGGTTATGTTTGATGATCAGATGGACATCAGATGGTGTGATCGACTTGTCATAAGCTTTTGTTCATATTGGCGTCACATGCATGAGAGCAGCAGGCAGCTGTGGTCTATGTTCAGTCTGTGTCTGCTCTAGTTTGATTATAATAACCTCTGGTTTCAACTTAATATTGCTAAAAAAATAAAACTATTAACATACAGGCATAAGGATCAAAAAAACCTGAAAATCAATATGGATGAAACATCATCATATATACTTGATCAAGTAAAACAATATTCACATGGAGAAGAAGGCGCTCTGACCCAACAGACAGATAAGATGAGAACATGTGGACAGCATCAAAACAAAAAGGTGAGGTGTGAAAGGATCGACGAGAGCCACCGCACAGAAAGAAAATAGAAAAATAGACTTATTCAAAAAGGTTAAGGTGAAATAATGAAAAAAAAGGGGGAAAAAGAATGAAAGGGAAGGTCATCTGACATTATGAGGACGAGGCAGCAAAGAGAAAGGCGATTGTTTTCTGATAACTGGACATTGTAAGTGTGAGGTGGGGGCTGATGCGGGCAGACACATGGAAGGCTGTGATCACTGACTCTCATCCAGCGGTCCCGTCAGTGTGTCGATGCTGCTGCTGTCTGTGTCCGAGGCCAAGGTTTGCTCCGTGGACATGGACGAGATGTCATTGGCTGATGAGGACTGCGAGGCTGAAGCTGACACCACATCTGAAACACAATGCACACAGCAGGAAAAACTGAGTCGATGTAGCAACGATATTAAACCAGGAAACAGAGCACGAGGTCAAGCTAGTTGTGTAAAGTTAGATCTCATTCAAGAAAACCTGCGCTTGTTTATATCGATAAAGAGTGAGGATGGTGCAGCTACTGTACCTGAACAATCCTCTTTCATCAGTCCATTCTTGTTCCTCTCCTCCCAGTCGATCACCTCTTCATAAATGAGCTCTGTAGGAACAAAAATGAGGAAAATGTCAACCAGTAGTCAAATACCACAAGTCCTGGAGATGTGTCAATTTATTTTTTATACCCTACAACACTGAAGCAACCGTGAGCAGGCAGACATACCTGCATATGGTACAAGTCATTTGATTTTAGGTATCACCACTGCACACAAAGGTAGTCTGTATTCTTTGTTACCGTTCCACTGTTAGTGGAAAAACTGTGTTGCCATAGCCAGGTAGAGCATGTGACATCAGTGTGTTACAGTCTTTCCCAAGATTGTTTTAGATGAGTAGACTGAACACACAACAAGTGTGTTGTATATGATTCATCACATATAAAATTTCAGCAGGAAATTTAAAAAAGGAAGACTAAATCATCCTAAAACGCTTTGCACCGCATGTCCTTGCACAACTATGGAAACGCAGCTCTATTTGGGTTTATGGTGAGTTTCCCGCTGTTCAATAAAATGTTGAGAATTAAGCTGCACTGTTGATATTTCTCCCTAGAGGGCAGTGTATCCTACCTTTCCATTGCTCAATCGTGTGCTCTCTCTCTTCCAACTGCTTATCGGAGATCTGGGGAGGAGGCTGTGATAAAAGAGAAACATGAAACTTTCAGCAAAGACCCGTGCAGCAGCTGCATGTATGAAACGCACCACCTCTGGAAGTGAGTCCTCACCGCGTCAGCCTCTGCAGGGTCGTACCACACGTGAATATATGGGTGATTGAGGGCTTCTTCTACAGAGATCCGGCACTCAGGATCGATGACTAGCATCTTGGACAGCAGGTCCCGCGCTTGACTTGCTGTTATGGAAACAGAGAAGTGTTGCTATGGTGAAAGGCATATGACATCACTTTATAAATAGTCTTAATAACATCTGATTTCTTATTCCTCTGTGTCTGGTAACATCTGTAGGAATGTTAACATTTGTTCTGACATTGCGTGATCATATTATTGTTTCCCTTTCATAGTACAGGGAAATACCTCAGGTGTACTGTCATCTATACATTATAGGAGTGTCCCAAGTTTGTAATTACAACCTTGCAAAGTTGTGAAGAAACTTAAGTTTGACAGTTTAGAGAAATTAAAGTGTTTCGTTTCACATAATTCTTACTTTTTAGTTTGTCGTGTTCGGAGTCAGAGGGAAAGGCCCAGTCTGGGAAAAGCTCGGCGAAGCTGACGCCAGGATACTGCGGCTTGTTCATCACATAGTTCCTCACAGTCTCCATCAGTCGATTCATGAACTCCAGACTGGGCGTGCCCAGAACCTCAATCACCTTATTCCACTGGTCAATGTCTGGACAACAGGACCGTTAGGGAAAACTCTGCCACATTATGGGCATAAACCAATGAGAGGAAATTTGATAAGCACAGGATAAGGCAATATAGGCATGACATTGATCTCTTGGAAAATCTACAATGTCCAGATCAGAGCAGGTCAAAATAACAGTAAACAGTCACTCTGGTGGCTCTATGACGGTGCAGTTATCTTTGAACTACAGTAATTACTAATATTAGCATCCTCAGTTCATTTTACAGCTTCATAAGTGCCAGGAAGCTGGTTAAAATATGGTCGAACCAATTACAAGCTGAAAAACTGTGTAAATGCAAATGTAGGAAAGTCCTTTGAATGTCATATATCCTCTGTAGGTTTGAGGGATTTAAGATATCTGAAATACAACTCCATGGATAGAATATAATTAATGAGAGGAAGTAACACAAAAACTGTGACACAACACAGAAATGTCTTCACAGTCAAATGTGTCATATACTTAATGAACATAAAAGAAAGAAACTTTTTAAAATGAATGAACTACCCTGTGTCAGATGGAGGTTTGATGGAAGGTGAAAGACAGAAGTGAAAAAACGAATGACAGTGTGAGTGAGTGAGTGAGTGAGTGAGAGCGATGAAGGATACGGTCTGTGCCCTGGAAGATGACGCTGCCCTTTACCATCTCTCCCATGATACACCCCACTGACCAGATGTCCACTGGGAACAAAGCATACACAGGCAAAAACACACACGGACACACAGACAAACACACACAGAGTAACAATATTTTAAAAAAAGAGCATTCAACATCAATGACTAAGTACAATGCACACACACACAAAAACAGAGTAAAATGACTCAAACACTGTACAGATGAAGAGCCACAGGGACTGCCAAACATTGAAATGCAGAACACTAGCTCTGGTTATTTTGGTCCATCCTCTGGCTGAGGCCTGCTGCTTTCATCACAGTCATCTTCAGGCTGGCTTTCTTTCACTCTCTGGCTTGGAAGGCGAACGCAGCCTTCCAGGCCTTTCTCCTTGCTTCTGCTTATCAGTTTACACAGCTGTTGCTGTCTCCCTCACTTTCCCTGAGTGTGTGTGCTCAGCAGAGTGGGATGGAGTTTCTCTCTCTCTCTCTCTCTTTCCCTGAGCCGAGCCTATGAAGCAAACAGCCATTAACTCCTCTCCTCCCTCTATTTCACTTTCACTGAAGCTGAATAAGCTCTGATAACATTCCCGATCTTACAGGCCGCTTTAAGTCCAAACTGCAAGCACCACGCATAAATCATAAATTCAAGTTTCAGGCATGTAACGCTGTTCACTGTGACAGCTCTGACAGGGTGGTTACACTCTTGAACGGGCGAAGAGACTTTCCTGTGTTGGTGCTCTGACTTCTTTCTGTTTGTAACCCTTCTGCGAGTGACGTTTTATGCGCCAGCTTAAAATGAAGCAAGTGTAGAGAAGTTATCAACAATCTAAGTCTCACAATCAAACAACTACTGCTTTTTATTTTCTGCTGTGAGATTTTAATTTAAAGACAACAACATCCATGTCCACCGAGAGTCCCCTGTCTTCATTCAGAGAGAACAACTGATGAAGGATACAGTCCTTTCCAGGAAAGAGGACTTTGTGAGAGATCATTTCAGCCATTATGCAGCCGACTGACCACAGGTCCACTGCAGCAGAGTTGTGGCATGTTTAGGACATTCAATAAAATCACAAATAAACCAAAATCAAATGTCACTGCAGCTGTATTCATCATCAAACAGCTCTAAAGGCTAAATTCAAAGTCCAGGTAGGTGTTACCTGATGAGTTGGTTGAGCTAGTTTTGTTGCTGTAGGTTTTCCTTTTTTACCTTGTTTCCACAGGCACATTTTTAGTAAATGAGAGTGGTTAGAGAACAATGATGATCTTAAGTGGTTCAGTATGGCTGCAGTACCTGTAGTGCTTGGATGCCAACCAACCACAGTCTGACTGATAGTGGATCAAAGGCTCCTGACTGTGGACTTTTTTATTTTTTCTTAGTTTTTTATTATTTTTAACAGCCTGCACCATCTGTTCAGCTCTGATTTGCTCGTTTGCTGACTCAAACTCAGCGGTGGATTGTAAACAATAGTCCACCAGACAAGCTGTAAAATGATGTCACCGTTTATTGATTCCATCAATTGTTCTTTGACACACTAGCTGACATGTCTTAGTCCAGTTTAAACTGATGTGTGATTAAAAACGATCAACTAGTAATAACTCATTACCCCCCAGTAAAGTCCAGTTATTGATATTTCTGATGATGCATTGGACAGTGCGTGTTAATCACAAAGCTGACTCATCATAAACCCGGACACTCTGTGTTAAACTCTGAACTCTTTAAACTCCTCCCTTTACAAACAGGATAGTCCTAAACTGGTATTCAGTGTCATGTAAAGTTAAAATTAAAAATCATCAAAATATCTTTGTAAATAACTTAATTCAAGTTTTTTTTAATGAAAGTGTGCATTCGGTAGAAAACAGCTCTTAAATTGAAGATATCTGTCTATGCTCTGTAGCCTTTACCAACTTTTCAGAGGTTGAAGTCTACTTGGAAGTTCTTACCATTCTCTTTGTACTTCATGCCCAGTATGACCTCTGGGGCACGGTAGTATCGGGTCACCACATAAGGAGTCATCATGAAGTTAGTGCAGGCTGTTCTAGCCAAGCCAAAATCCAAGATCTTTAGAGTGCAGTCCGACTTCACCACAATATTACTGGGCTTCAGATCCTGAGAGGAGAGAAAATCAATAAACCTCTAAAACACTGACATAAAACCTTTACCCATGTGGTACAGACCTGAGACCAAATTAGACTGCATAATAATTATATTAAAGAAGATACTGCAATCAAAGAGAGGGGCCACAAGGGTATAAACCCCCACATCTACAATAAATGAAATAATTCCATCCATAAAGACTTCCAATAGAAGAATAAATGCTTTCAAAGCGTCTAATCCCTCCTCGAATGAGTCAACAGTCGGTTAAAGACAGCTCAAAAGTCTGACTCCTCGCCACAGTGATGCAAAGTTTACTCAAGGGTGTAACGGTAAACTGTGACATTATTCTAGGTGTGGTAACAGGTGCAAATAAACAGGCTTATGACTGCTGCAGCAGACATTTAAAAAACTTAAGGCATCTCACAGGAGAAGTGAGTAAAACGCTGCTCATGAGTCTGAAACTGAATCACTCTTAAAAATATTTTTACAGTGTGCAGAAATATCAGAAGATAAAACAAGTTAGAGGAAACTTTATTGACCCCTGAAGGGAAACATATTTAACCTCACTGATTCACTGAGCTATGTGTTTCACTTGTATTGCTTGTCCTGTTACCCTGTGAATGATGCCTGCAGAGTGCAGGTGCCTGATGCCACAGAGGATCTGATAGAGCAGATAGGACATCCTCTCATGGTCCAGGTCCATGTGGATCACCTGGCATAGGCTGGCATCCATTAACTCCATCACCAAATATCTAAAGGAATAAAAAGAACAGAAAGATGTGAAGTAGAGATTAAAAAAGGGAGGGAAACATATAATCATGAATAGTAATATCACTAAAGGAGAAACTAACAATAAATTCAGAAGAGTGAAAAAAAGTTCATGTTGAACACACAGTAGAAATAAAGCAGGGGAGCATGTAAAAGCGGTGCAGTGCAGTAGAAAGGCTGACAAGTAGATGATGGATGGTCGAAGATGTAAGGAAACAAATAGAAAGAAAATGCATCAGCTAAAATCCCTGAATTAAGTAGATTGTTAAAGCCAAAAAACCATCCCTCTGCCACTCACAGATCCTGGAATTCCTCCAGGGACTTCTGAGGCGTGAACACATTGATCAGACGGATGATCTGCAGGCAGAGAGACAGGCCATTAGTCCACTCTGTTACTCTCCCATCTACATCCACTTCACTGTGGAGAGCTGACCAGCTGAGGACAGAGAGCTCAGTAGATTTGTCATGATACGCTCACTCTCTGCAGGATTTGCATCCATGTTCAAGCAAGCTCGCCCTCTCTATGTCTTCAGATTTCACATTTCAATACTGAACTCTTTACCTCAATTTCATTTTTCATATAGGACTCAAGTAGAAAAATACTCACAACATTTGAATTTGGCTCACAGCAGGTAATATTTGTTATAAAGAAGGATAACCCACTTCCCTGTATGAATATACCCTGCTTTATTTAGGTTTAACATTGAGCATTTGTTCTAGGGTGTAAGAAAAGGGAGCTTAAGATGTACATTGTAATACTTCATTGTTGGTATGATAGTTCCTCCGGCTTAAAGCAATGGAGAACAATGACCACTGTTCTTCTTACAATAAGAACACATTTCCAAACTTTTTCTGAGGCCAGCGTGACGCTTCATATGTCTGAGTCAATAACATAAAGTGGATTTCTTCCAAAGTTACATTAATTTCAGTTCTAAATCTCCACGTTTATGTTATAGATGGATTTGTACAGAACACAAAGGGTGAACTTGAAATTGAAAGCACTGGGGATGTCCTGATCTAAATCTCAGGGATTTCATCTTACTCTGATAATTTATGTCGACTAACATTTGGCACAATCTAAGGAGAGCACAAACATGTGAGTAACTTTGTAAAATCAAGTATTCTGGATGTGCCTGACTTCAATATGTATAAATGATAAGAAAATAATAAACCAGATATCATGTGGAACTCCAGCCATGGCTTAAGTGTTAGTACAGGAACACACACACACGCCCAGCCAGCTAGATTTTAACAACGACCACGTTTCAGCAGACTATGGAAAATAATATAGGACAGTCTGCTAAGCTGGTGTGAGCAAGCCCGGAGTGTAGCTATATTTTAAACTAGAAAGTTAAAACAGTCTATTAGCCACTTAGCAATGTATGCAATACTGTCATTTGGCAAGGCACTGGTAGTAAAGCTGCGTTCAATACTACCAATTTAATATGCCGTGTTTTAACTAAATATAACAAGGACTTCACTTAAAGACCAGAGGGGAGGCTGCTGCACAAAAACAACTCTGGACTTGAGAGGAAAGTGTAAATATCCTTGAGAGAGCCAAAAGGCTGAAAGGATTACAGAGAAGATGGCTGAATTCATCGCTCTGGCTGATTAACCCTTCTCTGTGGAAGAGAAAGCAGGTTTTTGCTATCTTTTCGATCCACCGTGTGTCCTGCTGTAAAACACATTTCAGACACCGCTTTACTGAAGCTGTGCAGCAAAGTTCATGACGAGACACGGGTCATTTAAAACATGATGTGACTGCTGTTAGTTTCACAGCAGTGCTTTGGCGCTCTGATGTTAGTTCTGTGTCAGTTTTGAGCCTCACTGCACCCTGGATTGATTCCTCTGCTTTTCACTTTAAGCATGCAGTACTGCAGTTTCACGAGCCTTAGAAAGCTGAGCAGATTATAAGCGAGTTTTACAACAATGCTAGCTGAACTTAGTTATTTGGATTACATTACTCAATTTGTAAAAACATAAAACAAAAAATGTGTGCAGCTCTATCATCTTGGCAAATACAAGCATCAGATTGGGACTTGATATCGGTAGATTTTTGAGGGAGAGGGGCAAAAAAGCTGATCAGGACACCCATAAAACCACTGTTACTTTGTCAAAATCCACCTAATTGTGTAACTAAGAACAGTTAAGTCTCACATGAACAACACATCAACTCAAAAACATACTTTTGCACATTGCATAACCATGGAGATATTCCCTCATAACAGACAGGAAATGTGTCATACTAGGAGCTCTAGGAAGCAGGTATGATCAGACAAAACTTGTTACTGTACATAATGGTGCAGGAGATTTGTGTTTAGTTAGAAAATACTTTAGAAATGATAAATATCTCTAAGTCTTACATTTTTGTGATTGACACATTTGAGCAGCACCAGCTCCCTGTAGGCACGCTTAGCATGGGTCTGGTTCTGGAAGGGCCGACAGAGCTTCTTCACTGCCACGGGTATACCGAGGACTGTATCTAGAGCAGAGCTGGTCAAACATTGTACAGAAAGGGAAACAGAGATAGAGGATATCAAGTTCACACATGGTTTCTGCAGAGCAAAGCTGTTATCTGACATCAACTGTGTTAATTTAAAGAAAAAAAAACCTCTTTGGATGTATCTTAAATTTAGAAGAAACATGTTACAAACTGGAAAAGTATAAAACATGAAAACCAGCAGATAGACCACAGAAACTATGGGCTACTTTTACTAATAATAACACTTTAGTATTTCTTTATTTACCATACCATTGATTAATATCACAACATTAAATAATGTCAAACATTTCATGTTATTGTTTCCATATGATGCCAGTGTAGTGTCTGATTTTCTGGTAAAAATCAAGCGTGATTAAAAAGAGTTATAAGTTCTGTTTTGCAAGTAAAAACAGACTTTAGAACAAAATTATAAAAGAAACAACAGTTTATTTTATTTATTCTTTTTTTTCCCCCAATTAATGTCACAGAAAGAAAAAAAACCTCATGATACAAGTTTTTTCTAATGTCATGCAGCTTTTCCAGGTTTCCATTTCTTCATTTTTTTCCTAATATGTCAAGTTACACAAAGAAGAATGAAGGAAAATTTGGTTTGAAGAGGTTCACAGCAACCTGGCTTCTATGTAAGTTTATTTTGACCCAGACACAACTTACATCCATATAACGGAGGAGCTCTGAATATCAACTCTGTGAAGGTGAAACAGAGTAATAGGCTTTAAAAAGAAATCAGTGTCCTACCACACGATGCCCTGGGCCCCAGAGCCAATGGCGCGCAGCTGCTGGTAGCGCTTGAGGACTGTGAAGGTGGAGTCTCCCACCTGAACGCTGTAGAACTGCCTCTCTGCCTCACTCATCCTGCTGAACAGTCAGGACCACCAGCACTGTCTGCAGGAAGGAAGGGGGGAAAAAAGACAAAGAATAACAGACTGATACATTATGACGAACTTCGATTGGGGCACATAATCTCTTTTTTCTTTAAGGTCATGCAGAAGAGTAAACAAGTTACAGCGCCATAATAAACCAAAGACAGAGTGATGACGCTATTATATGTTTTCTTAGTGCTTGGCATCACTTCCATCATTTTCATCCTAGTTTTATCGGCCACCAATCGCTTCCTACCCAGTTTGCTCATCAGAGGTGGAAGTGTTTTTGAGGTGCAGTTGAGGCAGTAAACATTTTGGTGTGTGTATGTGCGAGTATGTGTGGTGCAGAACAGAGGCAGATGGCAGCTTGGAGTTCCTCAGGCTCTCAGTGCCATCTCTAACTCATGCTGACACACTCATGCTCACTAAACACATCATACATCACAAACACACTGATGCAGGCAGGCAAGCATTGGGCCAAATCATGTTCATTACAGTTTGATCTGTGTCCAGCTTTACGTCAAGTGTGTTTACAGGCACCAGTATGATCATATGCTAACTGGTACATGCAAATAGATGCTAAGACATGATGTGTTTGTGTTTTGATAAAGGAATATGTCTGTTATCATTGATTCCTCGGGCAGGAAGGGGAAGAGGAGAATTTTTCTTGGCCAGGGTGTGCACGTGTGTGGGCGAGGACACACAATTATGTAGCTGTGCAACAGGAAGCAGTCATGGCTGTTTGTCATTCCTTCAGAAAACAGCCACAGGTTAAATGGAGTCTGATATCTTTTGGCCTTTTCTGTTTGACAGGCGACAAGCATGCCAGCACTCTCTGGATTTCATGGTCGGAGAAACATCGTGCTGAGGAGAAAAACACAGTGACGGGGGGCAGACATTATGACCAAATGGAGACAAGATAAAAACCTCCAGCTGCATGAATTGTAAAGATGCTTAGTTTCAGCCTTGAGTCTGTGACAGCATCACAAAGACCTTAAGTGGGTGAGCGGTGAGCTACAACTGCAGGTTGAGGACCAGCTGTCAGATGACCAATCTGATGATTACTTCTTGCAGTTTGAAATGACAAGTCCAAAGGGGAAAAAATCATGACCGTGGTTTCTGACCTTTCTTTCGTAAAAAGATGTCAGACACAGAAAACTGTAAATACATATCTATACATAGACATCTACTCTGCTTGAAAATATCATGACAGAACAAGACTTCAGAGACTGGGTACAATCATTGTTCTCATAAGTTGTAGTACTAGCAGCCAGGGGTGTCCTGATAAAACTCTTTTACTTCCGATACGATACTGATATTGTAGCGTTTAGTATCGGCCAACACCAATATTGATCAGATATTAGCTCAAACTTGTGCATGACAAATTTTGCACTCAGCTGCAACGTCTTTTTCGGACTTAAACAAAAATTACTGCCACATGGCCGACATCACTCATACTCCTTGCTGCTTGGTTAGTACCTCAGTACACACTGTTGTTATGATTAAGTAGGCTCTGCATGCTAGATCCAGGCTTGTTAGATAGAGGTGCTGGAGTGGACTGCTTGCATTGGAGTGCTTATATTGGAGATTTTAGATGCAGGCTGATAAGATACGATATTCGTTTTTTTGTTGCTATCGGATCGATATCCGATATCAACATTGGATCGGGACACCCCTATTAGCAGTATTTGACAAATTGTGAGCACTGCAGTAACAAATGTGCTTCTCCCGTTATCTTCTCCATTTTCAGAAGTGAGGAAGTCACTGGACAGTATTAGCATATCGCTGCAGCCATTGCTAAACAACAATTAAAGGGGCCCGGGACACTGTTCTGCTTAAAATAAATTAAAAAAGTGTTTACATCTGCATAAACCCTTCAAACACACACACATATTCAATAAGCATTCTTCTAACAGGTCTTTCATACAGTTAATTTTCCATTAAAATAGCTGTGTTTCTTTTGTCATTTATTGTATCTCGCTGATCTATCCAAACATGTTTAGGGATGACTTCATTTGTTTATGTTTTCTAATCCCCTAAAGTCTCTGCTTAACTCTTCAGTTTTATTTTTTATAATCAATCTGCAGTGTGTTAAATTGCTTTGTCTTTTACAAGCAGGAGTTTATTAATCTCCCCTGAGCAAATCCTCTCTCTTTCTCTTCTCTGTGTTGCATTAAATGCACAAGCTCCGGATGTAGTAGGTGTTGGTCTGTCCCTGCAATATTACTCAGAAGAAAAATGAAGCCTTCCCATCTTTATCTACTTTCCTCCTCTGCCTCCCCGGCTGATTCTCTCCCTCTCTCACATGTAAGTCCAGCTGGCTCTTTCACAACACCCAAAGGGAGGGCTACAAAGACCTTTACTTCCTCCCTGCTTCCCTCGCTCTTTCCATTTTCCTCTGCGTTGTATTCCTTTGTCACTACTTTACACTCCTGACATTCCCCCACTCCTTTGACCTTTTCTGGTTTACTCCATCATCCTTGTGGCCTTAACAAAGACAGCCCTGCTAAAAGACTATGAGACACTGACAGTGATCTTTTTAGGTAAGTATCTGATTTCGACATGCAAGCTATGCTTTCTTAAGTTGATGACAAACTGAAAACACTGTGATGAGGCCTTGACTGTTCCTAATGAGAAATCCAACAAACAGACAATGTTGGCTTTATACAAACTCAAAGGGCTCTATTTTTGTGCCTCGCCGGAGACGTGCCGCAGGCGTGGCTTAAGTCAGGTCCGCCGCGCCGACAAGGCGTTCCCAAGCACAATTTGGTATTTTGGTGAGCGGCGCAGCCCAGCGTAACTCACCTCCCCCTCCCTAACTCAGCTCCTCCCAGCGGCGTAAGTCATAGCGAGGGAGGAGAAAGGGCATGGAGTGGGTTTAACACAGCCGAGACCTGTTTTCACCAATCACATAAACTCCTCTCCTTGCCTTTAAATCCGCCACCGGCGAGGCGTATTACCATTTTCGTGAAGTAGTCAAAGAGATCAAGAGATGTCTGAAGACAGTAATGCCACAAGATGGCGACATAAAGCAGCTCCGCAACAAGTGTCACTGTAAACGCTGCATTGGGCGTCCTCCACACTCTCTCATATGAGCACAGATGGATTTGGTGTGTGTAATGTTGGACCCACTGGTAAGACAAACACCTTTTTCCACAAATAAAGACACTCACATAAAGTTGCATATATTCAAACATTAGGTGACAAAGGTGGGTTAAGTGCACAGATCACAACATAAACTCCAAAAATGGCATTAAAATCGGAACCATCTGTGCGTAAATGACGCATCGTGCGCCATGGCCTGGCTCTTTCTTTCATAGATGTTGGCATATAAAATAAATTTGGCTCACAAAACTGAATATTATAATATCCGTATGTAGGCGTAAAAAATGCACATTTAGAAATGTGTCTGTAAACCTGTTTCCATAACCTTCACTTGTTTTTCTGTTTATATGACTATGGCTATGAAACAGCTACAGTGGTGATGACAATAACTCCAGCTATGTCTTTTTCATCATCGGCCTCATCTCCTCTGTCGCCCTCAGTTAAACTTCTGACATATGAACATCAGTGTAAGCCTCAGACATTCTGACAGTCCAGTCTTCTGGTGTTATGGAGCTGTCAACTCCTTCTTCTGGTCAATTAACTGCTGTTCATGTCATCGCAAATCACTGCAATGAGTCATGAAGTAATGGGCCAAATCAATGGGGAGTATTTTTTAGTGCACCTTATTTGAGTTAAAATATCCGTATTTATCCCCAGTATATCGATGATTCAATCACACAAGGTTGTTCATGTATCCCCAACTCTGTATTAAGTCCCTGCCATAGTTGCAACAGGGAGTAAACAGGAGTTGCAAGGAAGGTAGGGGTGAGTTTATTTAGAGTTTATGAGAAGTACAAAGAGACAACAATAACTTTACCTAAACTGTCCTAATATTAATATACAGAATTTCAAAGATAACAACCATATCTCAATGTAAAAAAACAAACCTTTTATTGTTTTTGTCAGAGAAAAAAGTAATTAAGTAATGGAAATTTAGTTTTTTCCTTTGCTTTTGAAAAAAATGCAGATCCAATTTTACATATATTCAACTTGATGGAACGACTCAATAAAACAAGAAGAAATTTAATTTTGTCATTGAGTTAAAGCTGTACATTTATATCCTTCACTTGGTAAGATTACTTTAATTCCTGGAGATAGTTATTAAGGATTGTGATTGTGTATTATTATTTTTACTTATTACGGTTGAATTCACTCTTTTTATACAATCAATTTGCAAGGCTAAACTGTATGTTTCAAGCATTTACACATTGATCACATATACTGTGCATAATTTATTGCACTCCACTGATTATCTGTTCACCCATTTTTATGAACTATAAGAAGAAAATATAACATTCTGGCATCCTAGTCCCTTAAAATCCACTTTGTAAAGGAATATGATTTATTTGTGTAATTTCAAAATCCCTTTAGTCAAGGACCGGGTAACAGAAGAGACCTTGCCGCAAACAAAACAATCTTTAAAACTCATTATGACTACCATCCAGTCCAGTCCAGCCCAGGCCAAACCAGCCTTCAGGTCTGATGTGGCCTTGGCTCTAGGTTGGCAGCTGGATGGCAGTCAGTGAGCTGGCTATGATATCAGATTAGCATGGCCTGGAGACTCAGCATCTCATCCTCATGTGGCAGAGTTACAAAACACACAGGGGCGAGAGAACATGTAGGCTGCCGCTGCTGCACTAGAGATGTGTACTGACTGAGACAGAGACCCCAGTGTCCTGAAGAGGATGGATGCTATTGATGTGTTTATGGAATAAGATGTCAGTCACATGTGTTAGTAGTCTTGACACACATACACACACTCATAGCATGCTTGTGGTTACCGTACAGTTTATGATGCTGTTAGCTTCAACTGCCTTGGCCAACCTGTTTATATTTTGACAAGACTCCAGACTGAAGACATGACACGGCTGATCCTGAATACACACGGTGTCTAATGTGATGACAAGCCCAAACTTGCCTCTGACATACCACGTAAAATAAACCTGATGGATGTGAAATGTAGCAATAGCATTAGCTTTCATCACATCTCCACCTGTTTTCGTCGTAACCACGGTGATGGCTTTAAGAAATGAGCTCACTCGGCCCACTAAAATGACATTCATTTGGCTGTGATGACATCCGTGCTAATAGGTAATACGGTATACAGACTGAAACACAGTCATGTGTTATAACGTAGGAGTAAGACGGGGGCTGAGCATTTCCATACGCAGTGTGCCCACTCTGAAATATACTCATGCACACACTCAGAGGTATGAAGTCACCAGTGTATGACACACACACACACACTCACCGCGGCCGCAGCACCACTGGCACTCACTTATAACATTTGGAAATCATCGGTTTACACAATCTAATTCACGGTGATATACACGAAGATTGAATTCAGGACGCCTTTGATGGATTACAAAGTTACCCGGACCTACATTAGTAGTCTTTTTTTACTTCTGACGGCAGCACTGCGGTAGTCGGGCCGGGGCTGAACTGAAAGCTCTGACGGACCATCGGACAGCAGAGGAGGAGGCGGCAGCGGCGGCAGAACCAAGACCTACCTTCTCCCGTCGCCGCTCCCAGGGCACTCCCATGCATCGAAAACGAAAATTAAACGTTCCCTCTGGCCGTCAGACACAACCGGAACTGTTAAAAGTTTTGGTGAACGGGTTGTCACGACTAAGTAGCGTTCCTCCAGCTCCTAAGCTAACTCCAGCGGCAGCACGGAGGGACGGGTGCGGAGGAAGAGACGCCACAACAGGCAGAGAGCGAGCATGGGGGTGACGTCATCACGTACAGTTTGCGTAGGCGCAAACTTTTTTTCTCTCTTTACAAAAAAACTTTAAGGAAAAACTTTTTTTCCTCTTTTTTTTTAACACGATGTACAAAAAAGGGCTCATGCATTTAAAATAATTATGTGGTCAAATTGCCCCTGCAGACGGTATTTTATTTTTAGAATTATTTACATAAATATTGAAATGGAGTCTTAAATAATATCTGATCGTTAACGTTTGAGCAAGAGCTTATAAAACATACAGTATATTTACGTCATTATTATTATTATTATTATTATTATTATTATTATTATCATTATTATTATTATAACTTTATTTTTATGGCACTTTTAAAAACAGAGGTTTACAAAGTGCTCCGACAAACAGTCGTAAAGCATCAGAACATGGGGAGAAAAACAAATAAAAAACAAAAGCTCAGTTAAAAACAAGGCCTCTGAACTGAAGGCCATTTTCATTTGTCATAAAAAACCCAGACAATACAAGAACCCTGCAACATAAAATGAAACCATGAGGACTAAAATAAAATTTTAAAATAGGTAAGAAGAAGAAATGTAATTAAAAAAAAAAAAAAAAGGGGGGGGGGGTAGAAAGCAGGAAACAGGATATGTAATATGAATATATAATATAAAAAGAGGATTAATAATAAAATGGAATAACATAAATGAGCAGAAAAATAAAATAAAGTAAAATAAAACAAAATAAAATGAAATCAATAAAAGGCCTAAAAGGTTAAATAAGAAAAGATTATAAGTAAAGCAATGGCTAAATGGACAATAAGTCAAAGTCTAAATACGATAGATTCACGCCAAATGATTAATAATGTTTACAAGACATTTGACTGCATGCATTTGGTATAAATTGTATGGAATGACGGCATATAATGGACATAAGCCAAAGTATAGTAGTTCAGATTATGTTAAACCACAATTTTTAAATATATTGCATTTATCACTTTTTGGGACCAGTCTGAACTTGACAGAATAACTTTCCATATTGGTCCAGGCTACACGGCAACCGGTCAAAAAGTAGGCATATAAATGTGATCAAATAACTGACAGTTAAGGGAAAAAAAAGGACAATCAACGTTTAATAGAATGATTTGTCAGTTTATTGATTGATAGTGCCTGTTTATATTTACAAAACAAACAGTATAAAATAGGATCACAGTCGAAGATAAATCAAACCCACTTTCAAGCCCATATAAAATAAAAATCAGATAAATACAGTATATCATGATCATCATAACCCCTACAAATATCTGACAAATTAATGTACTTTTTAATATCACTGTTAATTATTGCTGCATAAGTGCTCTTTAAATAAGTCTCATGTTTATCTTTATCTTGTGACAAAAATAAAGACAAGTGTAAAAGAAAGTTTGTGGAAAATAAAGGTTCATGTTTGACCATGGACTGTCTTTGAAAAATGCAACCCTGTTAAAGAGAATATGCACAATATATTGTGCATCAACAATATATTTTAAATTAAAATGTCATAAAAAATAAAATGAATCAAAAACATATCAAATAATCAAGTAATGGTCATGAAAATTAAATTATGGAAATTTGTCTGTTTTTTGCTGAAAATGAATAAGTAAAACTTAAGTAAGGCACAACGGTGGCAAAAGTGTGTAATTAAATGAAAATACGACTGCATGATTTTAGAACTCTTCTAAAGAAAGTATTTTGACTCCTACATTTCCCAGACGGAGGTTAGCAAGCCCCAAAAGAATAGATAGAAAAGGAAATTATGTAAAACGAAAAAGAGTATTTACCAACTCACTTGTGATTATGTACACAAATAATGCACATTTGGTCCCCATATTGCACAACTGTAAACACTTCAATATACCAAATCAATGCCTCTCTGCCTCGCCTATTGTGTATTTTTTGGCTCAGCTGAAGAAAAGACAAAAGGCACAGCATGATGCTTCAAAGGTTTTTTCCGCGAGGCCGCCATGGCACCAGCACTTCCTCAGCAGTGTATTGGTAGGACTTCACATTTCTTTTTTTTAAATACATTATACTGCAAACCCCCCCATCCCACCCCACCCCCCTCCCCACATCAGTCACTCTCTCAAAAGCCTCACTGGTAGACACACAAAAACACAAAAACAGTACCCTACCCCAACCTTTTCATAAACATACAGATATACACACATGCACACACAAAGATATTGAACATTCAATTGCACTTCAAATCTTATGAGCCTCCTCTCTCCTCTGTTGTGCTTTGAGAATTACTCCACGGTCACAGACTTGGCCAAGTTTCTGGGGAAGTCAACCTGGAAAAATAGAAAGCAGTTTGTTAAAGAAAACGACCTGTTATCAGTACTGCAAATAACACGCCATGTTGAGATGTGTGAATGAAATGTATGAGACGCGTTCAAGGTTTTCACAGAGTCCTTCAAACACATGTTAACTGCACAATGATGCTAAGAGTGGCTGAAGATTAATTAACATGGCATAAACTGACAGCTCTTATAAAGTCAATACCATACCTGCGTGAATGACAGGATGTAAAAACATAGTGTAAGTCCTAACTGACAGATATCTTGTTAACAAATGGTGAATGCACAAGTTTTACACCAGCCTACAGATACCTATACCACTTTGAGTGACAGCTCAGCTTTGTAAGGCGCATTCCACAGTCATGTTCAGCAAGTTGACAAAGAGCTACAAAATCTCAAACTCATGATTTGAAATTGCAAAAACACAAGTTTGTATGATATTACTAGTGATATGCAATAATATTCAAAGAGCTTTACATTCAAAAAACAAATAACACGGAAATGTGTTATGACATGTACATATGCTTAAGTTTCTTTTTCTGAATAGGGGCATAGATTAAATAAATGTTGTTAAATTTATATGTAATAATCTTGATATTTATTACTGATACTATGTTAACAAACCCAACAAAACTACACAATAAAGGACAATATATTTTCAGGGTGTTATATTGTATTTAAATAGAACTCAAAGATGCAGTGTGTTGTATTTAGCAGCATTTGGCACAGACTTGGTAGAGATGGAATGAAATACCACATGTCTAAATTAGTGTATAATTACCTTAAAATCCATTTGTTTCTGTCAAATTATAACAAGCTTGTAATATCTACACTGGAGCAAGTCCCCTTTCACAAAGTTGACCATCTTGCACCACCATGTTTCTACAGTAGCCCAGAATGGACAAACTATAGGCCATATGTGTTTTTGTATTCAGTGAGTGGCCATGGGAAAGTAAGATGAAGAACAGGGAGGATGTTTGTTGTTGTGCACTAAAAGGATTTGTACTTATAGAAGTTTGTGATCGTAAAAACTTGACAATTGGAGGATCACAGGAGCTCCTTGCCAATCGCTTCACCGACAAGAGGTAGCATCTCAAATATGAATTTGACTGCGAGATATCAATAAATATTCCCATGACTATACACTGTACTATTAAGCAACGGCATGATCAATGGCAGTATTTAGACATGACTGTTAGGAGCCACATTGTTTCTTTATACAAATAGCTTGAGTCAAAAATTGTGTCAACTGCTTACGTCATATCCTCGGAGGACGGCCAAGTGGAAGGATAGCAGCTGCAGAGGGATGACACTGAGGATGCCCTGCAGACAGTCCACAACATGCGGCAGCTCGATAGTCTGGTAGGCATTCTTGGTGATCTCAGGGTCGTCCTCACAACAGAGGATGATGGGTCGACCCTAACAGAGAGAGATAAACAAGCAGGGACATTTGCATCAACTACCATTCAGTTCATTTGTAACACTTGTACCACTGTGCTCTTCAGCATGCTGCATATATTTGAGCTCTGTAATTGATCAGTTATTTGTTTTTCCAGGACCTACCGATCTAGCAGTGACTTGCTGCAGAGCATTCTGGCACTTTGTGTAGCAGGCATCTTTCATGATGACCATTATGACTGGCATGTCTTTGTCAATAAGAGCCAGAGGACCGTGCTTCAGCTCCCCTGCCAGGATGCCTTCAGAGTGCATGTAAGTGATCTCCTTGATTTTCTGCAGTTGAGTAAAACAAACAAACAAACAAACAAAAAATTATATTAAGTGGAAAGATTTCATACATTTCCTTTCAACAAATATACTTTTCTCAAATATCTTACGTTATTATAGGGGGGGTGTTTTTTGACAGATTACTCACCAGTGCGCCCTCTAGGCAGGTGGCATAGTTGAAACCTCGGCCCATGACCAAGAGAGACCTTTGCTGGTACAATTCATTTGCAATAGCTTTTATCTTTTCATTCAGTTCCAGCACCTTCTTTATCAGCTCTGGTAGAGAGGAGGAAGGTATAATGAATGCATACTTCATTTAAAAGTATATTGTAATTCTGATTTTTAAATCATCATAAAACTCAGCTCAACGTCTGTATGTCGGATATGAAACATTCTCTGCACCCCTTCTGAGACCAAAAGTACTCTATGTCCAGATTTCAAAGAATGTTTTTGGACTGACCTGGTAGCATCTTAAGACCGTTGATGATCTCCTGTCGCCTTGGCTGTAGGGAGAGTCTGTCCTCACTCATCATCAGGGCAAACATGATGAGGGCCACAAACTGACTGGTGTAGGCCTGCATCATAAATACAAAAGACACTGTTGTGAATCAGTCTGAAACTGAGGTAATAAGGGCATAATGCAGTCTTTCAATGGGTTAATGTTAACGAAAGTGACTGTAAGGTGTTGCCCACACATCAGATAAACCTCAACGGTGTCAGTATAACAGTCAGAGTAACAGTATGCTACAAATGAACGGGACACTTTACCTTGGTACTAGCCACTCCTATCTCAGGCCCAGCATTGATGTGAACTCCACAGTCTGTCTCTCTACAAATGGAGCTACCCACAGTGTTTGTTATCCCAACTGTCAGAGCACCATGTGCCTTGCAGTAGCGTAACGCCATCAAGGTGTCTGCTGTCTCTCCTGAGGATAGAAAATAAGGAAAAACAGAGACATCGAAGATTAATGAAACTGTCAGCAAGTTTCACAGAGGATCTGAGACTGTGAGGCAAGGTAAGAATGAAACTGTTTCAACTACTCAAATCAGTAACCTTAGAGGACAAGTTATCAGTGCATACAAACTGTAACAACAAGGTTTTTAAGTTTTCACCTGACTGGCTGATAAAGAAGCACACATCGTCTCTGAAAACAGGTGTGTTGCGATCAAGGAAGTCACTCGCCAGCTCCACCATAACAGGAACCTCAGTCAGCTCCTCCAGGATCTGTCTGGTCTGCAAATAAGGATTAAAAAGAAGTATATCATCATCCCCTTAATTCTTGGACAGAAAAAGTGACTGCACCATCATCAGTATGATAGCTGAACTTACAGCCACTGCAGCGTGGAAGCTGGTGCCACAGCCGATCATGATGAGTCGTCTGCAGCGCTTGATTTCTTTCAGGTGGTCCTTCAGCCCGCCGAGAACCACTAAAGGAAACAGAAAACAGTCACATTAGTTTGATCAGAACTCCGTGTTTAAACTGTCTTTAACATGCCAAGTTTTAATATATTATTACTTTTGGCCTTTCAAAGCTATGTTTGCACAAACACCACAGATCCTGTAATCTGAGTTAGATCCTGCTACTGTTGATTCAAGGTATTAATGAGCTCTATATTTACTTTGACCTCAAGGCCAAGTAGGACAAAAGATTACTTGTCACCTGTGTTGGTGTCGAAGCAAATCCGGCCTCTCATAGTGTTCACTACTGACTCCGGCTGCTCGAAGATCTCCTTCTGCATGAAGGCATCAAAATTTCCTGTACAGGGGGAACAAAGATTTCTATCAGATTCACTGATCAGTCTGCTGTTGACATAAAGTTACAGACTGAGTGTTTATAGCACAGTTAGTTCATAAAAAACAGAGATATGAAAGATGTAGGGCAAGTGTTTAAACAGGCTGGAAATTAGTCACGATTAATTGTTTTAGCCAGCAGAGGGCGCTCAATTACAAGTCCATAACATACAGTAATGGTTGCATTGCATCCTCACAGTATCCTCAATGCTTTCAGAATAATTGTGGTGTTTTAGCTCAAATACTTAAGTGTGTTGTTATTGTGTGCACAAGAAGACTTTATCTGACCTTTCATGATCTGTTGTAGCTCCATCTGCAGCGTCTGGATGGCCCTCACTGGATCCTCACCAGCCTGTCGGTTTAGCCTGTGGATGGACAATTTCCCCCCTGTCACCACGGCGATGTCATTATCCTCCATGTACAGCACCTTTTTGGTGTGTTCAATAATGGCACTGTGGGCAGAGAGGAATGAGTGAGTGAATATGACCTTTTTTGATATATGAGAAGTTGACAGACAAATAGAAGTCACACAGATGCAGGGCCACATACGAAGCAAGGGATTAAGTATGGACTCATTCACGCACCATGATGTCTGGCATCTTACCTGGCGTCAGAGGCGAAGTAATACTCCACAGCGCTGCCATCTCCCACAGAGTTGATGGGGTTGGAGCAGTCAGAGCGGTTATGGCTGTTCTTCTCATGGACTACAAGGGCAGGAGTCAAAGGTCATGGGTTAGAGGTTGCACAGTGAGTTTGAGTGACTAAAATGATCAAGATGTGCTCATCACTTGAATCCTTCCTCTCATCCTTTGGATATGTAGTCATGTCAGTAATGTTGTATAATTTTGGTTGTTGCCATTAGATTGGAAAGCAGCTGTTATGCCAAACAGGATATTGAGAAGTGATTGTGCACATGAACTAATGGCTGCTAATGAGGATTTTCTTTTGACTGACCAAAGAAAATGCAACCAGAGCTGTTTTTTAATGTTGTAAATAAAGGAAAGAAAGTATTTTTGAGGGCCACAGAGTATCTGGAAAAAAACAAAAAAACTTTTATACTTCAAATCAACACACCCTACTTGGTTTCCTGGCCTCAAACCACCCAGCTCTGCCTTGGACCTTGGACTTTTTTTTTCTTAAGAGCCATTATGAGAACCATAAATTTAAAGTAAACAGATAAGGCTGGGCAGACACAGTCCCCTTTACAGTCCAGACAAAGAGGCAACAACAAAGCACTGAAGTTGTGCTTAACATTCGATAACACTGACACCTCAGTTTAACAAATGAATCTTTGAGATTCCAAGTAAGACTCTCTCTATCTGTATTCACAGGAACCTCAACTTTTCACAACCACATCCTTTGTTGGAGAAAATTTCCAAAGGACTGGCTCTCTCTTCAACAACACAGAGAAAAAAGCTGGCAAGAAAAGTGGCTTTCCAAGAAGGATTTTTAACAGAAGTATTGCATAAGAAATTACAGATCCCCAAAACATCTTGAATTACCTCAACAGTTAGCCAAGAGCCTCACTCTGAATGAGTCTGTGTGGATTAGTTACCATAACTCTGACACAAGTCAATAGTTGAAGTGTTTCTCTGTAAAACGAGGAAAAAGTGCAGAAAAAAGTATTTTCTACGGAGGCACAATTTCTTCAGATTTTACAAACAGCATGACCTGCTAAATCACACACAGTTTACCTTCAATACATCTGGTATTAATCCATGAATAATCCATGAAAAATATTGAATTTCCCTTCAGGGATCAATAAAGGATAATGTGGCAACTGGGTTTAAAGATTTTCTTTAAGTCTTTGAAAAGACCAAAATCAACAATGGCTTTATTCCTTAAAGATGACACTTGTGTTGCCATGGCCTTACACCTCTAAGCCTCTTTCAAGCTTCACTGTTTGAATAAGAAAACAAAACAAACACATCAGTGAGTGTACTGTGTGACACTCTTCACAAGCTCTGTATAGTTTAATCTGAGCGAATCCTGCAGTCACCAATCTGCTGCTGCAAATACTGTCCAACACACCATATCAAGGGCTCAAAATAGACCCCAACAAATATTTACTTCTGTTTGAGTTTACTCAAAACCACAGTGCCGTGCTGTCTCAGGATTTATTTTGGTCTTTCTTTTTATTGAAAGTACATATACACAACCCATTTGCAAGATTTACATCTTGGAAGTGGGAAGAATTGGCATCAAGAAGCTTGGGGAGCCAGAAAAGTGTTCAGGGACCGATTGACTTTGGTCTTCCTCTGTTTTATCCTTTTAAAAATGTGTTTGAAGGTGGTACAAGTGTTGCACACAAAATAAGAAGAAAGATAATTCACATTTGTTTTAAACTGATATTATTTTACTCAGAATGATACGGTTATGATACAAAGCTAGTGTAGTATTCTACTACATCTTGTCAGTGTTATTGGTCTGATCTAAGAAACTTAGAGTCAGGTGATAACCAGCAGACACAAAATTGTATCATACACTCTAATAGTCTTAAAAAATTAAAATGCGAATGAATAATACACTCAATTTCATTCATTTCTTTAAGCTTTATGCATGCTCCTGGGACTGTGTGTATCTGCAGTGTGTCTGTGTATGAGCATGCACGCAGGCAGAGCGCTTGGCTGCAGTGTAAATGGATAATGGCAGACAGAGAGAGGAACAGAGCTCACCACTGTTGTACTGCACAGGGATGTTTTCGGTCAGCAGCTCCTGCTCACTTCGCACACCAATGAGCAGCGGACTTCCTCTCCTGCCGAGAAAAGAATGAAGCAGACGAGGAGGAAGAGATGGAGAGGTGGGAGACAGGAGAGGATTAGGCTTTGTAGACACACAACAAGGTCAGACACACATGCTCTCACGTGGTGCTTTGTAGTTGAATCAGCTTGTCATCCTATCTTTCTGTATTATTTCATTCAAAAGTTCTATGGCACTACAAGTGATTTCCTCTCTTTTTCCTCTAATCATGATCTTCTCACCTGCAAAAAATCAAGTGTAGTTAAATTTTGAATCACTTTTACGCAATCCAGGAGCTCAGACATCCTCCCACTTGCCCCAAATCTCTTCTAAATGTTTAATCTTTAAATTTATTGAAGAAGACTGATCCTCATATCCCTCCAGGATTTATTAACAGTTCCCGCACAGATTCACAGCCTTCTCATTGGCTGCACACCATCTGGGCCTCTCTTACTGGCTGTGCAAGCCGAGAAGGTGCACCCACGTGTACATTTGACAGGTGAGGGAGGATCATACGAGGAGACAAACCTTAAGATAGGCGACACCTCTACATAGTCATTTGTGACCTGTTTTGCGCAAACAGTCCATCGACACAAAACCACTTCACAGCGTAATTATAAAACCGCTCTTGAGTAATCATGTCCAAACGGCCTCTCCTTAATTCTTCATAATTCTGGATCATTCTTTTCTCTCTACTTGAAATTTCTCTGGAGCTCGTCTATAGTGACGCAAGAACACTGGTTGTTTTAAGGGGTGTGGGGCTTGAAAAAAGGAGGCTTGCAAACAGAAACATGTGGTCGCTATCCAATACAGTATTTACCCTGAGGGAGGGAGAGGGGGAAAAGTAAGAAAAGTAAGGAGTAAGTAGGTGAAAGACAGGGTGGTGGAGAGAAAGAGAATGGAGGTACAATAGAGTGAGAGAGAGCTGAAGAAAGAGGAGCTGAGAGGAGAGTAAAAGTCCTGCAGGGAGGTTGATTCAAGACGACAAAAGGGCGGGTGGTGACTAGCGTCAGAGTATAATAACAAACATTCCTCCATCTACAGAGACAATGCTGTCTGTTCAACATTAACCACACAACAAAATAGCCAAAGCTGTGCAATTTCATGACTTTTGTATTTATACACTACAGCTCACAGAAAACAAACGAGATGCAAAAGTCTCCTGACTTTATTACGGGTGCTGTCAAAGGCCAACACTGATACCGGCAGCTCATCAGTTTGCATAAACCATAAGTAATGGCCCACTTCTCTCCCTTCATTTCATTGACCACCCTCCACTTCTTCCACCTCCAGGCTCACTGAAGCAGGGAAGGTACAAAGTAAAAATCAAGTGATGAGAAGTGATTAACCAGGAGTGTTTCTGGCAGCAGTGAGATGAAACAGGAAACTCACTAGTCTCTTTGCTAATGAGTCACAGAAATAGCCGGCGCACGGCCAGTGGCCCAGAGGCCAGAGGCCCGGGAGGGAGAGGAGGAACCTGGACTCAACCTCTGCTTTACTCCCCTCCTCTGCCTAGGTCTTAGGTTGCAGAGTGGACAGACACACACAACACAGTTTATCCATGTCCCATCATGTCACAAGAAATGGATGTAAGCTAAGATAAGCCACAATGACTAAATCTAAGGAGTCTCCTGAAATTACGACAGTGATTGCTTCACAGTAGTAACAACAGGGATGACTCATCTCCAGTGCGTCTGACTCGCTGGTCATATACTGGACCAAAATGTGAAGTGAAATGTCATAACAAGAGTGTGTAGATGTGTGTATGTGTGTGTATGTATACTAACCTGGTGGCCACGGCCTCTCCAGGGAAATGACGACTTTTAAACACCAGAGCGAAGGCCCCCTCCTGAGACAGAAAAGAGCAGAGGAAACATTGAGTTTACTTTAACTTGACGAAAGACTGAAGCACCGCACTGTTAGAGGAGACCACGGAGAAGAGGAGGAGGAACAATTCTGAGAGTTAAGTTTAAATGTTGAGGCAAGGATAGACGTGTATTCCTGGAAAGCTATCTAGCTGTAGTGGGGGTGTGGGAGAGCATTGGGAAGCATTGCTGTAGATGGAGGTAGTTTGGTGGTTTGGTGGAGGGCGGGGGGTTGAGAAAAATAAGACCTCTATTGTACTTCATCAGCTGTGTTTCGAAAGCAAAGGCTGTAATGCTGCCTGTGGTGTTTAGAAGCAGAGCTGGCTGTGGCTGTGTGTGTTTGTGTGTGTGTGTGGTGTCGAAAGTAGGGGAATAAGCACGGAGAAGGGAAACATGGGTGGGGGTGGGGGGGCTGTCATGGTGGTGAGGCTGTTTGTGGGTCTAGATATCTGGTTCCCATTACTTCAAATCCAAAATGGCTGCATTGGCCTCATCTGTTCTTCTGAGGAGAGACGACCTGCTCCAGTGAAACATACAATACTGTGATACAATGGAACAGAGACGCTTGCTCAATCTGACCTAAAATGACTGTTTCTACCGGTGATGATGTCATTGGTGATGCTGCTAGGGCGGTTACTAAGGAGACTGTTTTTGTGATGGTGCACAGTTTTAGGAACGGGAAATCCAAGAAGCTTTTACACACTGCAGAGTGAATAAATGAGTTTATGTGTGTGTGGGTGACCGGTCAATGACACATTTTATGACACTACACTGCACCATGCCACCCTTCATACTAACCAGGAAGCTGCTAATCAAAATTTCCATCCCATAATCTAGAGCATATGTGCTGTGTCTGGCTCGCATAGGAAAGAAACACAAGCACACCCTTAATAACAGGACAAATTAAAAATTAGCATGCTAGCACTTTTGCTGCTATACAGTGGGAAGGTGCCACAGTAAAGTCAGTGTAGTTTACAGTGTAGGGGGACTCACCAGCTGCTGGATGACCCTCTCCACCAGCTTAGCGAAAGCAACGTTGTCGCTCTCTCGGTTGTCGTAAACATATTTGATCAGTTTGGGGATCACTTCTGTGTCCGTCTCTGACTCAAATTCATATCCTTTGGTGATCTGAAGAAGACACAAGTTACATTAACATTTATGAGGGTAGGCCTTCAGCTGGAAATCAGTAACTTAAGCCTGGAGATGTTAACTATACACGTACTACAACTACAGTATTAATATTCACATCACCATCAAGTGTCAACATTTCATGCTATAAAATTTCTAGTATTAAAGTTGAAATTCATAGCTCTCAACAAGCAAGAAAGCAAAAAAGACCTCCAAACTGCAACTATTTTTTTTGTCGAGCAATCACTCAGACTTTGATCCTGAACTGTATAATCACTCTAATCAAGAGTACTTCCTTTACAGAATAAACAGGAACGCAATAGGTAAGCTCCTTGATATGTGGTTGGGCTGAACAGATGTCTGCCTTTATTGTTAGTATAGTCAAGGTTGTGTTATCTTAATAAGAAGTCTACCTATTTCAGCAAGAATTGAACACATGCGTCTTTACTGTACTTGGTTAGTAAGTATCTGTGTTTTACTTAAGATTCAGATTTATTTGTCTCAAAGGTGAACTCAGTGTTAAAACCAATTCAAAACTGATCTAAATGATGGAAAAATAAGACAAGGCAATAGGTTATTCTGCCTGCCATCTGAGGAAACAGAGTTTATGTCTTTTAGAGGGCTGCTTTAGACTGTAGTGGAAGAAATCACATCTTTTCTCTCGTACTTTTGCTAAGAAATATAAAAGTATCAGACCTTTTACTACTAACTTCTCTTAATTTTGACTTGAAAAAAAAAATGCATCAGATTTCATATAGCGCTTGATCAGAGACCCTCAAAGCGCTTTACATTGGATACATCATTCATTCGCTCACACAGTCACACTTTGGTGGTGGTAAACTACCTTAGTAGTCACAGCTGCCCTGGGGCAGACTGACGGAGACGTGGCTGCCATTTTGCGCCTACGGCCTCTCCGACCACCACCACACAACACTCACAATCATACACCAGTGGAGGACACACACTGGGAGCAAGGTGGGTTAAGTGTCTTGCCCAAGGACACAACGGACAGACTTCGGATAGGGGGAATCGAACCGTCAACCTTCCAGTTATTGGATGACCGCTCTACCTCCTGAGCTACTGCCGCCCGACTTAAGACAGAAAAAGAAAACTCCAGCGGTGTAAGCTGGAAAGATTTAAAAATCAGCCTCATAAACAGTCAGATTTGACCGAATCCATCTCAAAGCGCTTTTATGTTTACAATACCATGATGGTGTAATGCTGTGCACCCTTGGTTTGCAGCACCTTTGCACTGGACAGACTGACTCAAACTGCAAACCAAGCTAAATATTCAGAGCAAATGACACCACTAGTATTTTTTTTTAAATTTGTAAACCAAACTGTACCACATAGATAAAGAAGTCTTGTGATCTGATCAGTGTTAGGTCTTGTCCAGGACAAATTTACAAGAGAAAGACACGCCTGTGAAGGAACCGGATGAGACTGTCACGTTAGTACAAGCTCTACCTGCAGGGTGGGTCTGAGAATGGCACTGAGTGAGATTTTAGCTCGTTTGTTTGCTCAAAAGAAATTCCTGGTGATAAGGCGACTTACGAGGTACTTCTTCAGCTCTTTGTAATTGGTGATGATGCCATTGTGGATGACGACAAACTCTGGGGAGAGGCAGCGAGAGTGAACAGATTAGACAAAGGGGTCAAAGGTCAAAAACCAGTCTTAGTGACGTATGTTTTCTACCCAAAAGGCTTCATCTCTCTGAAAATAGAACAGCCACAGGTATAGATCCCACAGATATTATTGTATGTGGCCAAACCAGTGAAACGTGCGGTGCAGCAGGTTGTTGTTATTCCAAGAATGTGTGAAGTTAACAATAGTAGTTGATGCATGCAGACAAAGCAGCGGATTTACACACAGATGCAGAAATAGCACTCAGAGCGTGATAATAGAAGTGTTCAAATATATTATGCAAAGGTGATATCTTATCACACTTGATAACAAAGTAACTCAAGGTCTACACTTAATATTTCTAGTATACTAATCAATAGTAACATATTATAGATATAAGTTACTTGATAGCACAACTCTCATACTTTGGACCTGTATGAGCAAACATCGTACTGTGAGCCAAAGCAAAGGTACGTTATAGACACACCTATGAGCATGGTACACTAGAAGCAGGCATTGGTGTTTGCATGATGAGAATAGAAGCTGTTTCAGGGTGTGTTCAAGGGATGAAAATAACATGGTTACCATTTATTTTAAAGTACAAACAGATTCAACAGCTACAATTAAAAGATTACATGTACTGATACAGAACATTGGAGTCACAAGGTCCAAAATATCACATCTAATTTCATATTTTTAATTTTCTTGTAACTGGATACCATTAATGGACATTTGCACTGATCTCCCTGCAGTTTTGCTTATATTCACAATGGTAAAGGATAAGTGCATTATAGATGTAAGAGAACACTGGTCTCACCGTTGTCCTTGTCAGAGCGATGAGGATGGCTGTTCAGAGCGCTCGGCTCTCCGTGTGTGGCCCAGCGTGTGTGAGCGAGGCCAAAGTGTGTGCCCAGTTCTTCGTCCAGGTTCAGTGAGTCTTTCTCTGCGCAAGATAAGTCAAGAAATCAACTCCTTTACAGACAGAAACAGACTTCAGGGACTTTCTGAAAACTGCTTTATATGATTAGAAAATCTGAACAAAATTAATTGAACAGAGAAAAGCAGGTTTATGATTTCTCCAACCAATCACATCATATCAACATTGAAATAGTGAGTGATAGACAAGTGGACAAGGACTGTATTTGTGATGTGTCAGCTCTACAAGGACTCACTGTATAGTTCCTCATCAAGGGCCTTGACCTTCCCCTTCTTCTTTATTAAGCAGATTGTGTTTCCATTGATGTCAGTGGTCGCCTTTTTAGGGCCGTCCACTGCAATACCTGAAGGCAGACAAGAGGGAAGTAGAATATAAATACAAAATAAAACTCTTACCTGCACTGGTAGTGAGATGACAAATTTATCAAAGTAATTGATGTTGCATGTGTGTGTTTGTGTGTGAGACACAGCCAAGAAAGAACCTCATAGTTATGTGGTTCCATCTTACTCAAACAGGATGAACAAACATGGAGTGTGTGTGTATGACAGGGTGTGTATTAGCATTATTAAAAGTCCAGGTGTGGTCGGGGTGAGACTTTTTCATTTAGTTTATTTACTTTTTGTATTATTTTTTACATTTCCTACTACATTTATTGTTTTTGTCATGTATTTACTCATTTGTTGTTGTATTAATGTTCCAAAACACTGTTTAAACTTAAGTTGGATGTCTTTCTGATACGCTGTCTGCTTCACAAGATAACTATTTCAGGTAAATGTCAAGGTGGCAGAGTGCAACGTCACCTGAGCTCCTTAAGGTGCAGTCGTAGCTAATTTGTTGCTGCATTGTAGTTTCAATAATACTCCTCTGGTTTTATGACAAACTAACTGCTCAGCAGTTACAGGCGTGAGCTGACACACCTGTTAAACTTCATTTTATTCAAGATGATAATGATAAAATAAAGGTTAAGACTCAGGAGTGCAGGGTGTGCCAATGTCCAGTACAGATCTATGACGGCTATAGCAGCGATTGAGTCACAGGTTAGGACTAAAAGTAGAGCTAGTCAAACACTGTCTTCATCCTATTTTTGAAGGGCATGACACGCAGGTGCTGCAAAAAGGAACTATACGCTTTTGTGGTGTGTGTGTGTGTGTGTGTGTGTGGGGGGGGGTGTTAGTGTAGCTGAGTGTCTTACCTGCTGAATCGTACCCTCTGTACTCCAGTCTTTGCAGTCCCTTCACCAGCGTCTCAAATATCTCCTTTCTGGTGCGGGGCACGCAGTAATTTAGGTAGGCAAATATCCCTTTTAGAGCCAAAGAGAGAGAAAGAGAGAAACTCAACCTCTTGGACAGAATTTACAAAACTGCAGAACACAGCTGTCATCTTTTCACTTCGACCATCATTTTCTCTGAAGATGACTTGTCAGAGAATGAGGATGTAGGAAAAACTTCAAATAAATGCTTTTCAGAATTCATAAAGAAATAAAAGTCAGCTGAACAACTTCTGCATGGTTCTCAGTTGTGTTATTTCTTATGAACTTTCAGTTTGACCCACAATGAGTATACCAAGGAAATACAAGCTCTCAAAACAGCCTAAATGAGAAACCGGTAACATGCTCCTCCATAGATTCAGTCAAACTGATGAATCTTCATATTTGTTCAAAATAACAGTTTATAGCTAGTGTGAGGCTAAATGGATAAGTAGCCTGTGTCTTTTTGTGTGTGCGTGCGTGTGCGTGTGTATGTGTGTGTGTGTAGGAATGTTCCGGGCAGCCCTCTCCCGCAGGCACACAGCTGGCCATTGACGGACGCACATTGCGCGCAGTGTTGGTGCAGCCAGGTACACAGGCAGGCTGCTGTACGGTACTGTAGCCTTGGCCTCTTCCTTGTAGACACGAGGAGAGGCCGAAACACTGTTAAAGATTTACTGTGAGCTGTAAACGTCCCGTCCTGGTGGGACACTGGGACCTGAGGGGCTGTCAAAAGTGGGGATTCGCCTCTCATAGTCAAGCTTAAGGAAGCTGTGGGGGGTGGGTGATTCCTTTGGCGCACCGCAATCAAGTACGCATTTTCACATTTTTTCTGACAGTAACTGGTATGGCTTGCCTGTCCTGTTGTGAATTGCAGGGAGTGAAAACACTGACACGTAGCAGTTAGGTTTAGAGCTGTCCGAGTGTCGAGCAGATCAGAAATAAGTAAAGTTTATCCAGCTGTGATGGAGCAGAATTAGAGCTTTCCTCGACATTGGACTCTTAAAAAGACTGAAGCAACTCTGAAACTTTTCCATTAATATGACACCAGACAATTTCGAGCTGTAGTTGTTAAGGTAAAACGCATGACATCGCAGTCAAAGCACCGGCGTGCGTAAAACGCGTATATCCAAGTGACAAGTTAGCAGGAATAAAGAAATAAACAAAATGGATAAAAGTAACACTCACCACACATGGCTCAAGCGCTGCTGTCGTTTCTGGATACCTTCCTATGAGTAAATGGCTCGAAGTTTCCCGATTGGAGTGATGCTTCTGCCTCCGCTGTGTTAAATCCAGAGCGACTACACACTCCCACTTTTCATTTAAATGGGGTTTCCTGGAGATCCAGCGGCGGCCCCTCCTCCTCTGACAGCTCCCTCGCCCTGTCAGCAGCGTCCTGTTGCCTCTCAGGTATTCTTCAGCACACCATTCAAACTTCTATCAATTCATAATTAGTTGACTCACCTGTAAACAATACAAAGAGTTTGTTCCCCTTATTGGAGCTACGTAACACAGTCATGTCCACATGACAGTCTTTTGTGTCTTCAGTCATTTATGTGGTTATAGGGCTTTGCTCCGACTCCTTTACATTCCTTTACATTCACTGTGGTTTCACTAAATCTGAGCTCCAGTTTTAAGGTGACACAGCTCGATGATGGGGAAGATTTTAATGTAAATGTAAGATGTACAACAAGGTGCTTTTTTCTTTCTTTCTGCCTTATAATACAGATTTATGTATAACTGCATTTTGCACTTTCTGTCTTGTCTGTGATGCTGCTGTGACAAAAAAAATTCCCCCATGGGGGATCAATAAAGGAATATTCTATTCTATTCTATTCTATTTCCCTGGGGTTTTAATACACTCTAAAAACCCTTGGGTTAAAAACAACCTAACTTGTTTTGGCGACGACTTATTGGGTTATTTTGACCCAGAATGCTGAGTCATTCAAATTAACCCAAATTTTGGGTTGACTCAATAACTCTTTTTAAGAGTCAAGTTAACACAATCTTTGAGTTAATTTGACCCATCATCTTGGGTTAAATTGATATATGCATTTGGGGAGCCTATTTTAGGAGCTTTGCTTTTACAATGGTAACGCAGTCATATTTATGAGGCAGGCCAGAGCGCTAAGGGTTTTGCCTAAGGACCCACACCGGTAGCTGTAATTCGCTCCTTATAGATGTGTCTCGTGTGGGATTCAAACCCCAACCCCCTGGTTGCAAACTGGATGCTCTACCTGATGAGTTACCCCAACATATATTGGGGTAGCTACCTCAAGCTACCCCAATATATAATTGCCATTAGGCCTAGAAACCACGTAGAGTAAAATTGAACCCAACGTTCTGACCCAATTACTGGGTTACTCTCAGAAAAATATCCCATAATTATTAACCCATTCAAAAAACCCTCAAATTAGGGCACAATATAATCCATATGACCCTAGACATGGGTATGGTTCTGAAAAATAACCCAGAAATTGAACTCAACATGTACAACCCAGGAATTGGGTTGAAGAAATAACCCAAGAGTTTTTAGAGTGTATAAGTGTATTTTATGAACTCTGTCCACAGTCTGATGTACTCACAATATTTAACAGTCTGGAGTTAAAAGCAAGAAAAAGCTATTGAACTTTCATTGATATAACTTTGAATAAACTTGTATCTCTACAGTTAATGATGTTGCCTATCTACGCTCTTGTATTGTTGCTAAGCAACATGTCATTGTTACGTACTTTAATCCCAAGAGTCAGTGAGCACTAGTTAAGGAATGAGTGACAGAAAGGGAAGTAAGATCTGAGCTACGGAGTACATTCTTGGATGATTGCATCAATGACATGGTGCACGATCAAAAAATAGAAACTGAAGAACTTAACTCTCATCTCTTCTTATCTAGGAATGATCTAGCTACACTGGTTTATGAACATGTTCTCTCATTTACATGTTAATGTCCTGGCCCTTCTGTGCAGAAACTACTTCCTCCAAAAGTCTTTGGATGCCCATGTTTACTAAGGTCCTGGATGTCAGCTCAGTCAAACTTGACTGACCCAGTTGGTTAAGTTTCAAAGCATACATCCTCTGACCGGGAAACATGCTTTAGATTTAAAGAGGTTCATGTCAACTGTAAAGAATAAGTTTAAAATATCAATAAAGCAGGAGTGAGGATCTGACAGGAAGTGTATTTCAGAAATTACTTGTTATTTCGCCTACTAATCACTAAGTGAGTTTCTAATTATCACATAGTTCAGTGTATTATCTTTCAAACAATGAAAAGCTGCTCGAGTTTTGATGAAGATGGAAGGAAGTCTACCTCAATGGTATCAATTACAAACACTTACATTGGAAAAAAAAATCTTTCCTCAAGTGAGAGTAATTATTAGTTATTTTTTCTAAGGCATGCGTTAGTACATTACGGTAATTACCTTTTGTACTTATTTACAGGATTTGCTCTGGTTGGACTTGTGGGATGCAAATAATGATGATCTGATGCCAAGCAGTGAGCATAATGAAAGTATGGTGATTAATTGAGTCTTTACACGCTTGATAAAACATTATAACAAAAACAAAATTGTGCGGCAGTATTAAACATCCTGTCCAAGATCTAGGACAAAAATTAAGGTAGTAAATCACTGACTGTATCTTCTCTTAGTATGTCTCCTCGTAATCCCTTAATATGGCCTGGACTCTGGAATAGTCTCATTTACTTTAGTGGCCTGACACAGAAAAGTTTATGCTCATATAAAAGTGTTTCTCCTCAACAGATAAATTCTCTCAAACAAAAACCAGGAAGAGCAGTTTTACAAGTCCCAGGTCAACTTTGGGTTGACACACCTAGATAGACGGTCCATCTCACACAGAGATAGTCGAAAAGATCTCATGTTGAATTTGAAAAACATTCACTTTTAACAACAATAACAAATTAATAAGAAATGACACAACCATCTATTTGACAAATTGAAAGATTTAACAGAGAGTGATTTCTTTTTAAATTCAGATCCACCACAAACCAGTCTTAAGGACCTGATTTGTACTTTGAGGTCAATAAACGTAGAGTCCATCTGAAACTACTTTCTGAACCTGACGTCATACATTTACCGTAACTTTTCAATCTTATCACTTTGATTACTCCTACTGTTTTTATTTAACCCTGTGCGAAGGTCCAAACAGAGCTCAGATCTGATGCCAGACAGCATTTAGAGCGATAATGAATGACAGAAATGCATTCCCCTTAACAGGTTTGTATAGATTTACAGCATTTTGAGTACGTGAGCATCTACACAGGATAGATATGGGAGATTACAGTCTTGTATAAACTATGGATTCATTATCTAAACTACATTTGACTATTGTTGGGTGATAAATAAACTATAAAAAAAAAAAAAAGATTTCAGTGAGAGGCAGGCACGGAGCTTGGTGCTGCTTATCTCAGTTTCTGCACGTCTCTTAGTTGGATGAGCATCAATGGAGACAGGTGTAGAAAAAAAAACATGCAGGGATGGGCCTTCTCATTGAAACTGACCTAAGGGTCCCTTTACATTTTTAAATCCTGTAATTCCACATGTGATGATTTTTTTTTTTTTGTGCTGAGTCTAATTATACAGTTAGGTGTGCTGGGGATGTGCGTGAGTGAGAGCGAGTGACAGAAGCCAAAGAACCGCATTCCTCCCCCTGGCTTAAGGGATTAATAAGTTTAATTGCATGTGCACCATGGCTTTGTTACCCAATGAGATCCACCCCAGAGATGAAAGGATTGTAAACTTCTACAGTGATAAAAATGATTGGCAGACAGTGCTAGTCCACCTCCTCAAATACAGGAATTTGGGGAGTTTTTTTTGACATCTTAATTTGTCTTTACTTTTAACTTTCACTCGTAATTATCTGTGTTTTTGATACATAGTCTGGCTGAGTGGTCATTAAATAAAATGAATGAATAAATGATGGTTTGTTGCTCAGTCAGTGATTGATTTCATGTAATTGCTACCTTCTCATCATAGGTTAAGTCACTTATATAACAGCAGGGATGACATTTAGTGTTTGTGGGGATACACCTTGATCTACTATCAGTAAATGACAGCAATTACAGCGAAACAACATGAAGCAAACACAATGCAGAAACACAAACAAGTATATTGTGTGTTTACAAGTCATTCATCCAATAAAAATAATTAACCATTCATTAGAAGTCGCGGGTACAATATGCAAAACCAAAGGAGCTGGCAACTGTGCGTACTGGAGAATGATATAAACCGGTCAGCAGTCATAACGTGGAGATAACACACGTAACACATCTTCAACCTCAATCTTTGGCTAGAATCCAAACGGAAACACTGCAGTCTGGACTATGTTATTTAGATTACAAATTACAATGGCTATAGATTGCACAACACGTGTCTTAAACTCACCCCTGCCCGTGAAATGAATCACCGCTCACATTTGCATATTTCATTTTCAAGCAAACACTCTCTCACACACACACACAGAGGAAGAGTTTGAGGCTTTCTTGAATTTTTTTTTTCTCGAAGTTTGACATCAGCTGCTTCTGCGTGAAACGTTTCAGGTCTGAGTGTACAAACCGGATGAGGCTTGAGTTAGTTGTCTCCAGCTGACTTCTCAGACCTTGTTGGCGGGGATCTCCCCTTACACATCTGCTTCATGTTAGAGCCTGGGGGCCACTACAGAGAGGCCCAACAATACACTCTGCTTCTCCCTCTGTGTCTCAGTGGGGGATGGCAGGAGGATACCTGACCAACAGCACAGACACACACACACACACAATCTGAGGACACACACTGGAAAACACCATTTTTTGTCTAATGCACTGAGGGAAATTGAACCTTCCCTTAAACATGTATGCAAATCCATAAACATGAGGAATGAACCCATAACTGTGAGATATTTAGTTACCTGTTTATTTAGTTAGTTAGTGAGTGGGTGAGTGAGTAAGTTGGTCAGTTTAAGAAGATATAAAGTTTTAATAATTTCAGGCAAACTATAGAAACTAGACTGAAATCAGCAACTAAAACAGAAACCCAGATGTGATACCGCTTTCTGAGGAAATATTTTACACACTACAGCAGAATGATACTTAAATTTACTGCAAAGAAAACATTAAAAGCATCTTTTTTTCTTGTGTAAAGCTCAGACGTTTGCATCCCCTACATATATTTCCTCCATGCCGCAGAAGCACAAAAGTCCAAACTCTTTCTTCAGAGGTTCTTGGGGGACATGGCGATGCTGTAACACAGGATTTATGAGGTACAGCAGTTTGTTATTGCGTAACTCCAAGAAGCACATACAGATCTGATTTGTGTGTGACCCACATCTGTGTTAAGAGCTGTAACACTGTAACCCTTTACTCTTGGTAGTGGGCATGATTGATGTTTGCTTTCACAGGATGCAGTACCTGAAGATCTGCTCTGCTTAGGCCCCTGTGCTGCTACCCTCATTCCCCCCTTTTCCCAACTCTTTTAAACTCCTCTCAGCCTGGCGGGTTCACCTCCGGGCCAGCTCACTGTGAATCAGACCCAGATGTGGTTCTGGAGTCAGACGGGAAAGCGTACGACATAGAAGGAGACCCACCCAGCAGCAAACGTCAAAGAGGGACCCCCTTCAAGTCCCTGGTCAGGCTTTGTCACAGCTGTTTGTGTGAATAACTCGATTATGTCTGAGAAACAGCACATTAGTCATGGCTGTGGCTGGTGACGCTTGTTACAAAAACAAGTAGAGAGTATAATTGATAAGATAAAACTGAGAGGCCGTAATTCCAGTCATGCAGCCTCGTCTGACTCTTGTGGATGTTATAATGTTATCACCGCAGCTTTTTTTTAGCATAACACAAGTCATTCATCCTGTTTTTATTTATAGCATAAAACTTTTCATTTACGTTTAATTTTGTTAAAAATCTTCTCAGTAGCCTTTAAAGAGATTCGTTTAATCTCTCCTCAGAGCTCAGCCCATTATCTTTTGTTTTTATTTGAGTTTGAGTGCTGTTGAGAGAATTTTCCGGCTAATATCTTGAGTCACCCTGACATTACGTACTCTATCTACTCCTACAGGTATCAGCTTACAGTTAATAAAACTTTTCCTCATGCTTGACCTTCTTTGACTTCAAACAGAGTTGTTATCTCTGCTGCATACAGACCTGGATCCCTGGGGCAAGATGATCTTAAAAAAAATGTTGCCAAACTGCCACCCTCTTAAATGTTTGTGTCCACTTCATGGCGGTTTGCAGGAAGAACTTCAATCAAAGTCATCTGATTCAAACTTTATGGTTCTTAAGAAAGAAGTTTGGCGAGCCTGGTTTGATGAGTGTGCCATGCCTGATGACAGATGAGGCCACAGTGTTTGTTTTGGTGCACAGTGGTCACTTCAGCTGGGTGGTGCTTGCCGTTGCACATCTGTGAGTGAGCTCAGTGTTGTGTGTGGGATCAGAGCAGAGGTGGGGGCGGGGACCAGAGAAAGAGGGGCGCTGAGCAATCACGTCATGTCAGATTCAGAGAAAAAAAAAAGAGAGCGAGAGAGACATCTGTATTATGTCATGGCTGCAGGGGCACTCCACCCTCTGCTCTTTATTTCCCTGTTCCGCGTTTCTTCCTCCTTAAATTCCCCACCCGCTTTTTCTTCTCTCACTGTGTTCTGTTGCTGTGGATGTTTTTGGATCATAAGCACTGACACAGGCTGAAATGTTTGTGTCAGTCATACATTTTTGTCAGATTCCAAAATCAAATTTAGCAAAAAGATTTTAAAAAAAAAAATCAAATTCAAAAAAGACAATAAAAGACAATCTTAAATGCTTCATATGAGTTTGGCACTGTATATCAATCAAATCATTTCCGTTGTTCATGCTGCAGTTATTTTCCACAGAGGTCGTATCGTGTCACAGTGTGAAGCCAAGCCCTCTTGGCTGAGATTCAGCCTGTTGCATCTTTGTATAGCCAGGCCGTATAAATAATGGACCGGATAAATAAGGGGATGTTATCACTGTCACACACTGGAGAAGTAGAGTTTGCTCCGTTTTGATCATTTTATAAAATTCTCATACCTGAAACTGGTTTTACTGGAAAACCGGAAGTTTTATGCAAAGTGTCTTCAGGCAAAGTAGCGGTAGGAACAACTTGAACATAGCTAGTGGCATTTCCAGAACTTCATATAAAAAGACATCCCTGAGGCAGTCAGTTTTTTTCATAAAAGGCTCTCAAATGTGGTTCCCACTGCTAATTGTGATGTGTGAAGAAACAGATTTTTAACAAAAAGGGTGGCTGAGGCAAAATCAGAGATATGAGCTTTTTTAACCTCTGTAATGTTCTTACTGTTAGTTATTACTATATAATTGTGTGTATAATTCACTCTGTTGGCTGTTTTCCATTACCAGTATTGTTATTCTCTCTATGTAATATTGTTTTTCTTATAGACAAACAATAGACAAGGGTGTGAAAATCTGTGTTTTTACTTTTAAACGAATCCCATGTAAACTGTAAATCTCCAAACTACATTTCCTTTATTCAGCTTGTCTCTGTTCTCTCATCACTTTGTCACTAATGACTGTCCACCTTTAGATTTTGACCTGCAGCTCCTTGCCTCTACCTGCCTGTCTTGTTTAATGGTTACCTTCCCTCTCGTAGAACCACCTGTAAACCAGACGTGGACACTCAGCAGTCTGTAATTACTCTTAAAGGTGTTCAGCACAGATGCTAATTTCTAAACAAATGAAGGTCAAAGATCAAAGTTGTTAAGACAGGTATTAAAGTTTGGCCTGAAGTCGAGGATAAGCTTCTGTCACAACGTCGGACGGGTTTGTGACTTAATTTGAATGTGAAATGGAAAGAAAAACATAGGGTACAGGCTGTACATATAAAAATGTTCTGCATCAGCATCCTGGTGTGTCTAAGAAAGTAGCAGAACAAGGACTTCAGGCACACCCAGCAATAAATCCACCACACACACATGCACACACACACACACTGCTGCTGTCTCCCTACCTCACAAGCAACAATCAGAGCATCAGACAAAAACTGCTAAGAGATTTAACGAGGGGCTGTAAACTCTCCCAGTAATGGGTGATCACACTGCACGGTTTCTATCTGCTGGATGTTTGCTTTGATGCGTAGCTTGTTGGATGGGCCTTTAATGTTGTTATATATTTAACTTTTGTGTGTTTTAACACGTCTCCAGTTAGTTCAAAACGCAGCTGCCCGGCTCTTAACTGGAGTACGTAAGAGTACGTAAGAGGGAGCACATTACTCCCATCCTGGCCTCCCTCCACTGGTTACCCGTGCATTTTAGAGTTCATTTTAAGATTCTTTTATTTGTTTTTAAATCTTTAAATGGTCTGGCTCCATCTTACCTCTCTGAGCTTCTCCACCCCTACACCCCTGCTCGGTGCCTCAGGTCAGCTGATCAGCTGCTCCTGCAGGTACCGAGGTCCAAACGGAAGCTCAGAGGGGATAGATCTTTTTCTGTTGCAGCCCCAATTTTATGGAACGAGCTACCCCTCCAAATTAGAGAAGCCCCCACACTGTCCATTTTTAAAAGTCGTCTTAAAACCCATTATTATTCATTGGCTTTTAACCCTCCATGAGACTCGGCTCCTGTTTTAGTGTTTTATGGTTTGTTTTTAGTTATTTGTTCTATGTTTTTAAATTAGTTTTTAAAAGCATTGAAACAATACATTTAATTCTGCTTTTATTTTATCCATTGTTTTAATTGTTTTTTGATTGGTTTTTATCTTGTTGTTTTGTCTAGTTATGTACAGCACTTTGTACAGCTGTGGTTGTTTTAAAGTGCTTAACAAATAAAGTTGAGTTGAGTTGAGTTGAGTTCACAGTGTGCTCTGTAAATGTAGTAACTTGGACTTCATGTGATAAATGTCATGTTGGCAATGTTGACTGTGTGATCCTGTTTGCTCCAAAATAAGAGAGCTTTTTTATTAACCATTTGATTTCAGTCGCACAAATCCAGAGAGAAATAAAAGACGCAACAGAAAGTTTGATAGTCAATATTGAATCCATACTGCCCTCATCTGGCCAAAGACTGCAGCTGCGTGTCGGGCCCTAACGCAAACCAAATCAACTGTCTTTGTGGAGCACCCAAAACAAGACACAGTCGGCCCGGAGTACTGTAGAGCATACATACGAACCAAAAAGCAAACAAACGATACAAGAGTGGAGGGAAAGAGGAAAAATCATAGAGAAGAAAGTTTACTTTGAAAACAATTATCATTTTGTGTTTCGTCAGAAAAGTAAACTTTGCCTTATTCTCTGAACGACTGCATAGTGAATGAAAATACATATATACAATTTTCAGGCCTTTTTTGTTTCTGCTTCCAGCGACTGTTGCTTATAACTAATGATAATCAGAAGTTAAGTATCTCAGATTATTGGAATATTTCCCAAGATTATTCAAAAAATTATTCAATATACAGTTATGTCCAACTCCTGAAAAGTACATTCATTTTTACTAAGTAGCTTGTACCACTTTACCAGGAATTGCTGTATAAATGTGGCATAGTATTGAGACAATCAGCCTGTGATAGCGCCCTCTAGATGGTTTGTATTTTTGGGTCCAGTGTTCCTCATTTTGACATACCTCCTTAATAGGCACAAGTTCTGGCAGTGCTGGCAATGCAGATATTATACTGTGTCTACGATTTCCTGAGTCAAATAGTAAAGTTCACTCTGGTTAATGGGTTGTAGTATCACAGTTTAGTTTCTACGTGGTTATTTGATTTTCTGAACACTTACAACACTTCATTTTTTTACATTTTGTACACATGAAGAAAGGCATTGGAGGTTTGGTTTTGCTTCTATGCATCAGGTTTATTTACATTAATAAGTGGGAGACATCTCCCTTGTGCAATACTAACTGGAATTCATCAACTCTCTCAAACAAAACAGCAGAGATCCTTTCAACAGGAAATGCAAAATAAGATTCAAATCTGCAAAGTCTTACGTTCTCGTGGCAGGTTGAAAACAATATTATACCATATAAAACGAGATTGATGCAACATATTAACAACTATTTAAACATTGTTGATTTAAAGCATTAATACTTTGAAATAATGATAGTAAAAAAAAAAAAAAATCACTTCAGGTCAGCAGACACACTCTCTCACACCAAGTAAAATAAAATTCTCTCACACATAAAAAAACTGAATTCAGGTGGCAAAAATAGCCAACAGCAAACACACTGCATGTTTAGGCACGGTATCAGTCATACTTCACTACACTCTGCATGCTGACAGAGAGAAGCACTACGTTACAAGAAATCTGTGAGCATATTCAACATAAAAAAACAACAAATGAGGCAACTGAGTATTAAGAAATGAAATATCTGATCAGGTTTGACATTGAGAACTGACAAGATATTTCAACATCTTCTTTCTCATGCCGAAACTGAACACAGAACAAAGACAGCAAGGTGATGCATACCTACGCACCAATTACATGACAGACAATTAAACAAAGCGGTACCATCTTTAGGGGTGAAAAATTTAGTTATTTCATAACATGTTTTATTTGGACCACCGACTTGGAAGAAACTGGATTGTTTAGATGAAGAGAAGAAAGACGCAGTTATCAGAGTAGATCAGCTGGGAGGAGTAACAGTGCAGTGATTTCTCTGGGGCTGGTGAGCTAACACTAGAGGTGGTCCTTATTATTCTCAGCTTCAGGAAGTTTGCAGGGGTGCAGAGGGGACAGAGTGAGAGAGGGAAATATTTTTAGATGGAATACAGGGGTGAGATGGTCTGGCTTCAGAATCCTGAGGGTGTTAAAACATTCATGTCCCGGGGTTTAAGTTTATGCGGCCGTGGAGGAACCCTCTTGGCTTCTATGCCAGAGATTTCAATTTTGGGGGGCATATAGTGGGCAGGGTCATCCACCTTGAAGTTGACCTGGGGGTTAGTGCCATCGATGGTTGTGGACTTCTGCAGGCCAAAGTAGGACTGCAATGAGAAGCCTGCATGAGAGAGAGGGAGGGAGGGAGGATATCAGTGACTTTCAGTTCCTGTTGAAGGGTGCAGCTCTATTGTTATGGTTTATTGAGACGTAAACAGGTGTGCTCCTGGATTGTGTGACATCATTTGTGGGTGTGGTCAGAGGTGAAAAATGTCTCCGAAAACATGCGGGGCATCCTTCTTGTTTTGCATACGATAGCGTTAACTTAGCCCCATCCTTTCAGAGGAAAATCCCCACCAGCTTAAAACTCTGCTCAGCTACAACAACAAGTTTTCTGTGACAACTGAGTCAGCACAAGTGTTCAAAGACACACAAAACTGTAGTGTTGGGGTCTCTCTCACATGTGTTGTACTTTAAAGATTAACAATTTTGATGTTGTGAAAGGTATTTCAGAATCCACTGATTGGCTTTTACAAATATATTCCTGATACTCTCAAAATCTTGTTTGCTCCTACTGTAGCTTCAAATATTTTAATGAATAGCGCTCAAAAGATAACACCCTTTGGGTATAAATCTTTTACCTGTGCCACTTTCTGAACCCGGGTCTGTGGGGGACTTCTGGACCACAGACCGAGTTCCAAAAAAGTTCCACCTCTCTCCTCCTCCTTCATTTCCTCCCATGTCTGTGCTGGGGTTGGGACTGCTGAGTTCCGGAGTTGCAGGGAAAGGAGTGGGACTCAGCTGGAACCAGCTCCTTCATTCCCACCAAACGAGAGCAAGAAATGGTTATGCAGGCAAACACGTGATTGGATACATTATAGAAATGCAGAAAGAATTATGTGGCTCAGCTTCTGGTCAACAACCTACATGAGCTGAAGTAGAATCACACCTACCTGCGATTAAGAGCAGGTGATGAGTGGGGACTGACACAAGGGGTTACACTGGGGGTGACAGAGGGGGTAACGGAAGGGGTACCAGTTGGGGTGGATTGTGCTGATGGTGTAAGCCTGTCCTCCTTGAAGTCCCCGCTTGGCATTCTCAACTTCTGTAAGCAAAGAAAATTAGACCGTGATTTAGAGTGCAGGATTCTACACAGGAACATAGTTCTGACTTTTATTTACAGAGTAAACACTCCCTGGGTACACAATGCAGAGGGTCAGTGGCATTTTTCTTGGGCTGTTACAAAAAGTAAATAAACATTGTCAATGCTTCACTAAATATACAGGGTGGGGAGGAAGAGGAGGCACAGAAAGAGAACCACTTTAAGACAAAGTGGAAGCTTTTTTAACGTTAGTATACGACATTTTATTAAATAAAGGTTAAATTAAAAGAAAAACTACAATTAAATGATTGAAAACTGCTTGTAGGTCAACCTAAACTATCTCAATCTTTAACACCACAAGTCCAAATGAGTTTAACTTGCTCTAGTTTTGCAAATATTCCCTATTTTTCAAACATGAAGCTGGTCTTATATCCTGATAACTCCAACAAGTCCCCCGACTGAATGTCTAAACATACTTGCCTTTACATTAAATTCTATTTCAGCAAAAATGTCTTTCAGAATATTTATGTAAAATCTCCATCCAGTATAGGCATATTTCCATGATCCGTGTGTTGGACGTCCTTCCAAACTCTTCTCCATCCTGTAGTCCTGTGGTATGCTCAGAGCAGAAACCATGGTGCAAATGAAAATCAGGGACCGTCCCTGTGGTTTTAAACCCCCTGCCATCAGTACCCTGGTGGACATCAGCCAGAATTTTCCGAGTCACGACCAGATCTTGGCTGCTCAAATTGTTTTTGTTTGGTTAAGCAGACTCTGCTGTCATGAAAAAGGAAAATAAATAATGGCACGCTCCATGTCAGACCCAGGACTCCGAGGTATTTGTGAAAGACAGGTGACTTGTGTACAACCAAAAATCGACTTCATCATGAGACTGTACAAGGCCACTATGTATGAATTGTGTGGAAGTAATAACATACTGCGTACAAATCCTAAATCAGACGGAGCTGAGCTCTGTTAGTCCATCTTATGTGTTTCCATTAAACGGAACAGAACGATGATAGAAGAGAGTGTGAGTCTGAGGCTGAGGAAGGCTGCACTTCACAGACGAGAGCAAGATAAGGCCGAGCCGTTTCCCAAAACACAGGAAGACAAATACAGCCCTCGGCAGACATGGGAGCAGCGTAACAACTCTCCACATCTTGAGTGATTTCCAGAAAGCAACACTGCCGTTTGGTGCTCAATAAACGATAGTTAGCATGTGCTAAGCTAACGACCGTTGGGCTGCCACATAACAGCGAACGTAACGGTCTCAAGCCAAACACACAGCTAACAAACGTCTCTTGTTTTTGTTAGTTAAGTCAAACTCAGCTGCCACCCTTCGAGTCTTTTGATGATTAATGCTCTCTTTGGTGGTAAGACACTACTAAACGCGGGTTGGTGGCCGATATTTCAGAAATTTAAAGAAGTTACAACGTCCGGCTGCGGTATTTCAAGCTAGCATCTGATATCACTTTCCTAACGGCCCGTGGTCGACAGTCCGGTAAAAAATGGCTCCAACGAAAGCTAAAAGCAAAAATCTTTGACGTACCTTTTCATAATAAAATTTCTGTGGCGCTCCAGTTCCATTGGTTCTTTCATTTTGTCCATTATTGCCTATTTTAACGAGTTTAAGGATCTTTTATCGGCGACCAGGAGATACCCTCTGCAGAAGGCCTCTGACAAACAACTCTTCTGAAAGGAGCTCTGTGATTGGTCGGTTTGACAAAATAAGGAGGCTCGGTTCATTTGAGGGCGTTGCTTGGCAACGCTTCTGCTGATAGTTTGAAAGACAGAGGGTTAGTTACGTAATCTGTTTACCAAGATATTATTTCATATTTAACCTGCAATCATCCACGGAAAAATATTACATATTACTGTGTCTTTACCACACATTTTTTGCAATAATACGAACTTATTTGAACTGAAACCATGGACAAAAAATACAAGGAATGTTAGTCTACTAATGTCTTTGTTATTTGTAGAAATACCATAACACATTGGACTGATTATGTACATTTGAATGGTCAATCTATTCACCCAAAACGTGAGCATGGGGGGGATTTGGGATGGGAGAGAGCACAGATTTCAGAGAAACCAGCCAAATCTGGACAGAAAAGAAAACATAACCTTTGTGCATATAAACAGTTGCAGGCTGTTTTGATGAACGAAGGTGTAACTACAGCCTTTGCTTAACTTTCCATGATACAAGCAAAGATAAGGTATGATACTTGATTGTTCTGCTCATACATTGTCTGATGCTGATGAATAACATAAGTGTATAAATACGTTCCCCTTGTTTGAGTGTATAATGAATGTTAAGTTTAAGAATATTTTAATGGCTATAGTGATACTGTTACATCTTGAATGTTACAAACACCACCTTAAGTTTCATTTGTGGCCAAAAAAAAAAAAAAGAAGTTATTATCGATTTCTATTTACAACTGGTTTGTTATAACGTTTCAGCCTAAAAAGACTTCAGTAGATTGACCAGACCAGACCAGATTTATCCCTGATCATTCATGAAGTTCAGACCTTGGAGTAATCATTTGGACTTAACCTGTTTAGTAAACCAGCCATCAGAGGGAGTTGTTTCCTTTTTCATTCTGTCTGGTTACTAATTATGATATTAGGACAGAGAGAGCAAATTTCCACAAACCTCTACCTTATTTTTGTTTATACTCACTGGCGGTGGGGTGTCACAAAGCCGGTGAAAGCGGGTCTCCTCAGCAGACAGCCCTTTGTGGGGTGAATACCCGGCATCTGTCAGGCCTACCTGGTGCTCAAACCTCTGCAGATTCTCATGGGTCTGCTCTTGGGGAGGATGAGTATACAGTTAGTAAAATAAACATAAGTCTAGTGTCTAAATGCAGCTAGATTAAGCTTGAAGTGTTTTCTTTTGTTTTGCTGATAACTGGATAATCATTGGTAAAGCTTACGTAAGTCTTTAAGGAAACAGTGAATCTCAGTGTTAAATTGAAAATAATTCATCGGAGTTATTCAGCTGGTTTGTTGACTTACTGAACATCAGTGTATTCATTAAAGAGGTGGCTTTGGCTTTCACAACAGGCACTGGAGTCTTGGCTGGCGATTGTGGTTCAGTGGTCAGCAGTTTTCCCCCACTCCGGCTTTCCTAGTCACAAGAGTTTATACTGTTAGGATCAACTTACAAACCAGTTACATAACAAATAGGCGAGCAAGTCAAACGTGTGCAGGCATGCACCTAATGCACCTAACTCCTAGCGACAGGTTGCACACAAACCAAAAAAAATAATCTTTTGTTCAGTTAATGCTTCAAAGACTGGATCAGTCAGTCAGAATGAACACAAAGGCACCTCTGGTGTGTTCCTGAACTTGTGCTTTGGGATGACCGGATCTTTCCACAAGATGTTGACAGCAAGGTCTGGAGGTGGGGAATGCATGGGGGCATCCATGTGCTCATCATAGCTTGTATTGCGTCTCATCATTCCGATAGGGGATGAGAGGGCACCGAAGAGTCCAGATGAAGGGCCAGACTCAAGTGCTGAAACATGGGAGGAAAGACGGTGTTAAGCACAACCACATACAGTTATCAATATTCCTTGAGTTTGATTATCAATTTGAATCTAAATTTCTGTGTTACCTGGGATATCTCCCTGCCTTGAGGTCATTTTAGTAACGGATCAGAGAGGATGACCACAGGAGACTCAGAAGGGTGAATGGATGGTGGTCCACTTTTGCTTGGCTTTTTTTTATCTCCAAACCTAAACACATCATCACATGACACATAGTGTTACAGTGTCAGTGACAGAAAGAAAGACAAGCTCCCTCAGAAAGAAGAGAGCACGCAACACTGAAGTCACCAAAGCTCTGGAGACATGAGGTTCATAATGAAATTATTACATGCATCTATTCTATTAGCTTAACATGGCTCATTATAGAAATGACACATTTGAAAGATATGTTTACTGTGCACAGTGCATACTGTCCTGTCTCTGGCCTGCTCCAAATAGAAGCAAGGAGTCTGGTTACAGCACTGTCATTAATATCAGATAACATAAGAGTCAAGCTCTCCTCACATACCACGTCAGAGGAAATGTACAAATTACGAGAAAAAAAAAGCAGGAAATGAAACTTTTTTGTTGTTGTTGAAGGAAAGAAAAGGAAATCAATCCATGTAGGAGAACGAAACATGCCATCGAGTTTGTTCCTCATTGTGTAAAACAGAAAGACAGACACTGTGGAGTCCCTCTGTGCTGTGATGAACCTGTGTACCTTTGTTATCAGAGCTCCTTATCAGCGCACTCTGGAAGCACTTTCCCCTTAAAGTCGCTGACATCAATCTTCCTCACTTAAATAAACGCTGATTGGTAGAATCTCAGTCTGGATTTGGGCATAATCGGATGCTGCATTTGGATTTGGTAGTCCAGTCTACTTTTCAGACAGCTGACATTAAATTGCTGTTCACGTCAGCACTGAGGGGAGCCAAAAACAGTGACTTGCAAAAACAGGAACCGGGATTATGTCACGCCCCAGGAAAATGGGAAAAGATCTTTTAGTGGTTTTAATGCGAACTGTAAGTCACGCAAAACAGAATTCAGACGTGTCAAACATATTCAGTCGGACAATGTTTAGGTTACTCGTCAATTAGTTGCATACGCCCATAACCTGTCATTTATGTTACTTCACTTTATCATGTCAAGTTATTGTGCATTATTCACACGACAGACAGCCACTCGTCACACATGCTCCACGGTATTTAAGACTGACCTTACCTGCAAATATCTCCTCTCCAGTTGAAATTACTCCACAGTTGCAGGGATTTCTCTGTCAGACTCAGAGCCGCGTCGATTTGACAATCTCAACGAACAAATACGAAGTGTTTGTTCTCCAGTTGGTTCATCCATGACTTTTGGACATGCACAGAGTAAACACAGCTCTGACGTCCACGCAGTCCCACTGAACTCAGCTCTCCAGACGAGCCACCGGCGGAAGTGAGCATCCGAAACAAGAAACCCTGCAGCCGGTAGCTATGGGGAGGTGTGCTGCAGCATGACTGTATTTTAAAGCGTTATTGTTTTATATAAGACAGGCCGAGAGAAGAAAAGCCGACCGTTTTGAGGCAAAGTAGCCTTCAGTGTGAAAGATGGAGTAATTATTTAAAATAGATTTATTTAATGTGTATGTATTGGGTCCTGTGGTGAGCTGAAAGGTTGAAGCTGCCTGTATTCATTTACTCCTGAGATGTGGGCCGCTCGGTTTCTCCTGTCATGCCACAGCATTATTTAACAGTTATTTATTTTAAGTATTTTATTAATTATTTAATGTGTTTTTGTGGTAGCCTAAATGTTGTAAGTTTTCTTTACTTAATTTATAGCTGATAATGCTTGTAGGCTTACTTTTTTCGCTTGATTACTTGCATCATACTTTAATAAAACACATTTTGTCAGCTTGGTCATTGGAAGCCATTTATTTCGTAAATGTTTCTGATTTGAATGGGTGGGATTTAGCCTTCTGATTTTCTGGATCTATTTGTTTGTTTTTGTTTGTTTTGTTTGTTTGATTTCTTTTTTTTTTAACTGTAGAGAGTTGCTGTGTTGGTTGGATAAAACTAATGTTGCAGAAATTTGTAATTTACTATTATTATTATTGTTGTTGTTTATTTATTTATATCTACAATTTCTCTATTTTAAAGGTTCTTTAACATCTTAACAGTCTTTTCATGGGAACATTCAAATTCAACTTTATTTTTATGGCACTTTTCATACAAAAAATGCAGTTCAAAGTGGCTCACAGAGGCTAAAAGCTACAATAAGGACAATAAAACTCAACCCTCCCACCCATCCACTCAACCCTCCCACCCACCCATGGACCCACACGCACACAAAGACACACACCCACCCTCACTCACCCACACATACACACACAACCGCACACAGTGTGAGAATTTAAGATACATTGTTAGAGAGGTGTGGTCTAGAGCTACCTCTGGGAAACACTGGAAAAATAGAGATAAAAATGGTGAAAAGAAAGACTAAAACCTGATGGACTAAAACAAGAAAATAACATTAAATGAACAGATAAGTAAAAGCTCTTTACCATATAAAAGAGGTAAAAGAAGTAAAAACCTGTGACGGGAATTAAGAAAAAGACTAAGAACAGAGGTATTAATAAAATGACATAAAAATAAACATTAAGAACTTTGATTAAAGTGAACATTTGCAATAAGAGAAATATAAAAAGGCAATTAGTAAAAAGCCTGGTTAAAAAGGTGAGTATTGAGCCTCTTCTAAAAAAAAAAAAAAGCGATAGTCTCTGCGGCCCTGAGTCTCTCCAGCAGGCTGTTCAACAACCGGAGACCACAGAAACTGAAAGCCACCTCCCCGTGTGTTTTTGTTTTAACTTTGGGTACCGTTAAGGTTAAAAAAGTCATCCTTGAACAGTTAAAATCTTTGTTTTTTGACCCCAAATTGCACTCCTATTAAATAGCTTTGTTCAGAATGACCCTAACCGGAGTAACCATGCACTATCATTGATACATACCTCAGATTATTATTATTTTTGTTGTTGTTGTTGTTGGTGGTGGTGGTGGTACAGTACCGGTCTTGTAAAAATTTTTACATGTGTGGCCAAGGTATGTTTGTAGAGAATTGCTTATTTGTGTGTGTTTCTGTTCATGTATGTGTGTTTGTGTGAGAGAGATAGGTGTGTGAGATGGGTGTAGCAGGTTACAGCCTATGAGACGATACTGATCTGAGCCCCCCCTGTCATGCTCTGGCAGACACACGGTGTTGGCTGGTTTTACTGACCCTGTCATGCCAGAGTTTGTGCACAGCTCTGGTTTCTGGTGTCCGTCACATGCAAATACTTCTAAGAACCATTTATAGTGTCTAGGGGTCACTTGAGAGGGCAACTCTGCCTACATGCTCGGCAGCCTGACTCTGCACTGACACACATTCTGCATTAACATTGGCAGCCTTAAACCACAGGGTGGTGCTATTGATACACAGCACATGGATAGATTTTGCCGAAAACAGAAAATAATCACTCAGTGTTCCTTTTTATATTTTTATTTTACAAAAAATATAATAAAATGTACAAAACTAAATTGAACAATGAAAGAAATGAAACAAAGTTGAAGCACACTGCAGTATAAATAGAAGATAAATAAAGGAGAAGATTTTTTTTTTTCACACAGGTAGATTCATTTGAAGGTGCCTTCCTTGGAGGTCAGAGGTCATCTAAGCTTTAAAGAAGTCCTGAGGATCAAGCAGACGGAGTGGTGGCCGAGACGTTTTGTTTTGCCCTGCAGATGCAATAAAACATGGACTCATATGAGATACATTTCTACAAAGCAGAGAGGCCATGAGCCCCTTTGGGTATTATCGAGAACTTGAAGTCATGTCTATAATACTCACATGACTTTTTCCAGAAGTTTCTGCACAGCACTCATCTCAGGGTTCAGGCAGTATCGATAACCATTACCGGTGATGACACTGTTAGAGGAAAAAGTAGAGGAAAGCTCAGGTAAGAGAATTACATCCATGAATGATGCTGGCTAGAAGACAGATGACCAGAAGTTTTTGATTTGCCTCATGAGTACAGGTTAGAGTTTCTTATACTTTTGATTACAACAGAGATCAGACATGAACTATTAAAATACTTAAAAATGATCCAAAATGGACTTTAATGTTTGATGCTGGTATGGCTTACTGAGGGAGATACTACAGTATCAGCACAAAATAAGAAAAGAGTGCATGCTGTTTTGTAAATGTTAAAAAAATACATGTGTCTCTTACACAATCTCCACTTTGTTACAGAAGAGGGTTGCTGGATAGATCTGGATGTCCTTCACCTCAGAATTGGGCCTGATTCCTCTCCTGACTCGTCGGCACAGGCACTGTTGTCCTGACTCGTTGACTAGAGACAAAAAAAGAAAACATTGCTTAAGAATCTTTTTTGTTGCATTTTCTTACCCTTTAATCCAAAGCATGACCGATAAAAAAAGGTACTCACGCTGAGCCATGGAGATACAGATCACGACAGCCAGGAGCAGAAACACTTTGATGGTGCTGGACATGGTTGGATTTGTCTTTTCCTTCAAGTGAAGATGACAGAAGCTGTAGCTCGTGCTGCTATGAGGTCTGCGAAGTTCAGAAGAGAGTCTGTGTTGTCAGGGGAGCTGTGAAGATGAGAGGCTGAGGGTTTCACTTAAATACCCTCTCTGGCCACATACATCATACTTCCTGTGATGAAGGGAAATTTCTTAGTGTGGAAAGTGAAACCAGAAAAACCACAAGAAAAACCGGTCACTTGTTCCGCTCTCTCCCCCCCATCTTACAAGAGATATGGATAACTCAACCACAAAATCACAATTAATTTTGATTTTAACTTTGTTTTAGGATCAACATAACAAAAAAAGTTATAATTTTTCTATCTTGGACTATTAATTCTCATGATTCATGATTAAACCACTTTCAGCAACTTTACTTTTTCTTATACCAAAAAAGGACAAAGACATAAATGGGTCACTGATAAATTGATAGTTTTTTTGTGGTTATTGTTCCCCTCAATGAGTGAAATTTTACTGACTGTGAGTATTTGCCATAGAAGTCGTTTAAGAGGCTTTTTTCATCACACTCCTGTCAGTCATCTTGTCAGACACCTACCCCCTCACAGCAGTTTCAGGCATTGAAATTTACAAAAGGTAAATGATCAGTCCTTGTTGTCGATGGCCTTATTTGTTCTTAAAGATCACAAAACAGCATCATGATCAATTTCAGTCTATTTCTCAGCCAATAAAACACTCCTCATAGCACCTTCAATGAGAAAAAATATCAAAATAGTGTTATCTGTGAGATTTAACATTGATTTGCCAATGTAGTTATGCACCACCTTTCACAATAACTTGTAACATGAAAAAAAAAACTGTTGATCTAGTGGTTTTGACTACGCAAGGAGTTCATAATACTTGGAAACAAAGCGGAGGTTGTTGACAGGCACTTCTGTCTATATGTGAAGCATTAGTGGTTAACACTTAAGCTGTCACAGTCTGAGATCGCATGCGAGAGGGGCTTAGAAAAAAACATCGGAGCAAGAATAATTTCATGTGTTTCCACTGAGGTTGTGAAGTATTCATACTACACTTACTTATGTGGTTTAATAAATCAATATTGAAAGCACTTAACAATGGTTTTATGTTTCCATTTTGATTGAGGAAATGCTCTGTTTCCACAGAAAGCACAATCAGTATTATTTTAGATAGATAGATAGATAGATAGATAGATAGATAGATAGATAGATAGATAGATAGATAGATAGATAGATAGATAGATAGATATTCTCCTGTTACAGCAGCAAAAAGAAAATACAAAATAATATTAAATATAAGAAGAAGAAGGTAAATGCAGCCTAAAAATACTAAACATTCTGAGAGAAAAAACTGAGATATGAAGAACGTGGGCTATTGAAATGAGTAATAAATATGAAATGCAAAATATTACAGATGGGGTGATAGATATACAGACAATTTAAGGTGCTCAGTTAGTGATGACCTAGTTTTATGTTCTTGTCACTGACCTCTTCAAGTTCAAACTCATCTTCCTTTTCTCTCTGGTTTTTGATGTGATGAGTCATCTGTGGTGGTATGTGGTATTGGTACTCTGGTGGATGTTACTCTGACAAATCTGAATAACACATTTTCAGAATTAGTTCACCTTCAAGTTAAACAAATGAACATATGGTTTCATTGTGCTTAAAGGGATAATTAACCTAAAAAAGACAATAACATGATTTTTAATTCACTGCATTGTGATGAGTTTCCATTCATGGAGCCATTTTGGTTTCACTTTCCATTCGGTTTGGGGATGTCTGTCACCTTTGGGCTGCTGGGCATCCATCCATCCATTCATCATCTCTACTGCTTATTCCAGCTCAGGTCATGGAGGGGCTCGAACCTTTCCCAGCCAACAGTGGGCAGGAGGTGACACACACTTTGCACAGGTCCCCAAACCATCACAGAACACAGATATATCCACTTTAGAGTGAACCTGATCAGTGTGGCATTGGATTGTGGGAGGAATCCAGAGTGTAGGGGGAACCATGTGCAAACTCCACGCATAAAGGCCCCGGACGAGACTTGAACCAGAGACCCAGCAGAGAACAGCACTGCCCACCGCCCCATTAAGTAGTTTGATACAATACGTGATTAAGAAGAAGAAAGAGTGTAAAAACATGATATTGTCTATGTGCTTGTGTCTCTAGTGTCTCAACTAGATGAAGAGTTAACATTGATTTTATTGTAAATGTAGCTTCTGTGTTCCAGCGAACACATTTCACAATTAGCGACATTTCTTAGCGAAAGTGTAACAGCCAAATGGTGCTAATTTAAGACAGGGATTTTTTTTCAGGAAATATGGTGGAACTGTTGAGCATAGCAGTAGGTCGTGAGGTTCCCTTTTACAAATGTCGTGAAAAGAGCATTGAGCACAAATGAAACTTCGAAACAAGAAGAAGCATGAGAAGTGGGAGGGGGTATGTGAGTCATACCAGGAGATGGTTGACTTCTGGGGGGTATTTGATGACAACATGGTGAGCTGCAGTGGTATAGTATATGTCTGCCATGCCAGATTAGCTCCATCTTTGTTCTGACAGACACACTGCACTTAGCAGGCTTAAATATTTCATATTTCTCTTGAGTTAATATTTCATGACTTCTTTCTTATTGGGGGCTAGAGAGTGCACAGCAGTATGGCACAGCTTGTTCCCACTTACACCCTGACTCTGCAAGAATGGTAACTCCTTTTCTCCATACCAGCAAGGCATATGGAAAACCATTTCGGTTTCTGTGGATGTATGTCAGTGAGGATACACTAGGGAACTTCCAGCTGGTATCATTTTTAATTTTTTGTGTTTTCCCCTGGTGATTCAGTGACTCTTCATGCCAAAAGCCAGATATAGGACCTCACAGGAACTCATAACATCCGCAGAGAGTCTCTGCAGACAAGAGGAAGACAGCATGAAGAATCTGTTAACACTTCCGTTTTCATTTTTAAAAGGGGGATTACAGTCAACATCAGTGAATGTAAAACCCAAAGTGAAATGTGAAGCCAACAGACTGTTTTAATAACTGCTAACATATTTCCTGCTTCCCAAAGCTCATCAACTGCATCCATGCATGCCCCACTAAAGTTGTGTATGAAGGGATGAATAAAGAGAGAAGAGGGAACTGGGATATATATTTTTAGAGACACAAGAAGTCCTTTCCATCCTGATCGTGATGCAAGGTGACGTCTGTTTCTGACGATTGCATCAGCTGATCACTGCTGGATCAGCTGTCACTCATCTTTAATAGCTGTTTGTGTCTGGTCTAATGTTAGGCAAGTCACTGTAAATTAGTTCCAAAAAGTTACTCCCTGATCAATTATCAAGTAACTAGTTGTTTGGAAAAGTAACTTTGGCATTTCTGCTTTCTGTATTAGTACTTTTATTAATGTATCCTGTCTTTCGCCCTTGCAGTATACATAGCTGAGGAGTGCTCTGAAAGCAGCAGACTCATCATTTGATATGGAAAGCATGTCTTAAACAACGATTCTTACCATCAGTCACTTTAGTCCTTCTTGGCTTACAGATTGTGAGGCTGGTAGTGATTTAAAGTCAAGCCTATGCTGTTTAAGATGGAGAAGCTCTCTGGTTACTAGTGTAGTAGGAGTCATGCTCAGTTAGATGGGTTTGACAAAGTTTTTCCTCCTTCACAATTCACCACAGTATTCTTGTTTTTAGCTAAAGGGGGCAGAAATTAATACTGGTATTTTCAAGATAAAACGCCTGGATGATCATCAGCTGATAAGTGTGTGTGTGTGTGTGTGTGTGTGTGTGTGTGTGTGTGTGTGTGTTTACTGTATGAGATGTATCTGGTGTATCTTCAATCTTGCCTGCTGAATTTAGTGATCAATCTTACATGATAATTGAATTAATTAAATAATTAATTGAATTAATTGATAATTAAAATCAATTTTTGGTATGAAGGAATGAGAAATAACTCCTTTTAAATTTCTGTAACCGTTAAAGCTTTGTTAAAATTGAACAGCTGCTAGTTACATCAAATAGTAGTTTCAGGAAAGCCTTATATATCAACAGGCCACTAAAAAAACTGCTGTACATGTGTACGGTATTAACTCTTATAAAAAGTAAAGTAATTCTATTCTGTTACCTTTTTACAAACAGCTGCACATGAGAAACCTGAGGTCAGTGTGGGCACTCTGATAGGCTAATCCTGAATATTGTACTTATACACAAAACTCTCTCTCACACATTCAAGCTTTTATGATATCTCATTAACACTGGTGTGGAGGAAACTGAAAAATCCAACAAGATGCAACTACTACACTTCGTCTTTGTGAGTTTTATTTAGGCCTGAAGTGAGCTTTGCAGAGCAGTCAGCTGACACAGTGATCTGATTGTCAGGACAGAGTCTGCATACCTGACAAAGAGCGAAAGATTAACTTCATGTTTATTGCCAGGAGGAAATAGCTGTGACCTTGAAGAGGGACTGAGTGTGCTGTGTAGCCAGACAGTTGAGCTCATTTGTCCCCATTCCCAGTAATACTGTAAGAAGGCTTACTCAGTGCAAGGTACAAGTCAACAAAATGACTTCACACTGGAAATAACTGAGTGTCAAGTTTCAAGGAGAATTTTAAAAATCCCGCACTTCAAACGTCACATTCATTACTGATCAGTCAAAATTAAAACTTAATCAACATGATAAAAAATGTGAAACATGCTTTTAGTAGACAGACCCCACCTCTGTTAGATTCAGTTCTCCTCATAATAAAGTACAATACGAGTCCTCACTGATCATGAAGAGAAAGTAGATATAAAACATGAGAGCAATGCTTTTTGTTGTTTTTATGAAAATTATGTTCAGTTTTTGGGGCTTAATTTACATAAACAACACTTTTTAAATTCCACTTCTCACATACTGACAGTTACAAAACCTACCCATGTTAATGATTAGTCTCAAGTCACCTTTCAGTGTCTGTTTATGATCGTTTTTTTCTACATTATTGCACTTTTGGTGATGTTGGGAAGTTTCATCAAAGTCTGGTTCTCCTCTGCATCAAAACAGGGAGAAATATTTTATACAGGAGCATGTCATGATGCTCAAAAGACTTCCACAAAGACTGCTTTTGTGCATCCTGTCTTATCCTGTTTCCTTTGCCCTCCTTAATACTCTCTCCTTTGTGCAGCAGTATAAGTTATGGGATGCTCCTTAATACGGTGGGTCCTTAACTACAATTGGTTCAGCTAAGGACAGAGGGAATATTATTTAAGGGCTGTGAGAATCAGCCAGTGACTTACAGCAGGTAAAAAAAAAAGTGACAGTGGAGTGAATTGAAATAAAATACTTGTTCAACAGTGTTTAGTTTAGGTACTCCATTACAAGAAAATATCCTGTAAAATAGTATTAGTGGAAAAGTGAATATTCATTTTAGAAACGACCTCTGTCAGATCATGGCCATGATAACACTGTTGATATGGCTGCATCCATCTTTATCCAGGTTTCTGCTGGTTTAACTTTTTGAGATATTTTAAAGGCGAGGAATTTTTAATTGTTGAGAAATAGACTAAGACTGAAACTGATGCGCGGGTATGACCTTTGAATACAAACAAGATCATCAGAAGCAACACTTTCTCAGACGTGACTTTAATGCCTGAAACTGCTGTGAGGGGGGTAGGTGACAGATCGGATGACCACAAACAGGCTGAAGAAATAGTGTTTTCTAATTATTTTCCCATGGCTAGTACTCAGAGTGAGAAATATATTTCAGCATTCAATGACAATAAAATAGGTGTTAGCCTCAAAACATGACTTTCACATCCACAGGACAAGCAAAAAGAGGCATCACTTTTTCCACAGAGGGCTACAGTACCAGTGACACAAATACAAACCAAAAGTTCCATACAGCAGCTTTAACTTCATCTTATAAAGTTCAAGTCAGTGTTTTGAAAACAGTCGACCAGTCACCTCAGAGGCTCTAAATTTGAGAAGTCAAAGGCGATACATGGGGGAGGGCAAGTTTCTTTCAAAAATGCATTTGATAAGCAAATTGAATGATTTGACTTTTTTCCATTAAAGACATATTAAAATAGGCATAAAGAAATGAGGAGTTTTGAGGAAAACCCATCTTTAGTGGAACTGTTTACAGATCTCACATCAGACACCTGAAATGTTAAAGTCTGTGTTCAAATCAATCAATCAATCAATCAAATTTTATTTATATACTGCCAAATCACAACAGTCGCTATCCCAAGATACTTTCCAGAAAAAGCGCAGGTCTAGACCACGCTCATTGTTTGATGAGTTACCAAGACCCAACCTTAAGATGGGACAAATTTGACCCATCTCATCTAACATGAGTAACAGTGGCAAGGAAAAACTTCCTTTTAACAGGCAGAAACCCTGGGAAGGACCAGACAGCCACCTCACTGCTGCTGTGTTAGCTCACAGCTTGCAAGAAAAACAGAATGGGGAAAACTATTTTTGTCATTCACATTTTGTCAAGTTTTACTTTATTAAAACTTTAACGTTAAAGAAGGTAAGAGTCTGTAAATACAGCCCTTGAGTAAATGTTCTTTGTAAAGAGGTGCAAGGCCCATCATAAGTCTCCATACAAAAAGAATGCAGCATTTTTACAGAAGTTACAGAAATAAAACAGAGCCCTTTACGTACACGTGAAGTTTCATCTTCAGTAGCCCTTTAATGCTTGACACCATAAATTATGGCCAGAAAATTCAAATTCTTTAGGAGCTGAAATGTTTTTCACTTACTACTGAAAACCCCAAAAATCAAAATGTCCTTAAAATTTAACAAATATATTTATTTATCTTGTTTGATACATTAGATGTTTTTGGGAACTAATAAACTACAAGAGGACATTTTTATCATTTATCGGTCTGTATTCAGGTGTTTTTTTTTAGTGATTTGTTGATCATATTGATTTGATAACAATATATAGACTTATGTATCAAATATGATACAAAAGATATTAAAGGGGTGAACTTGCTGCCCCAGACTCAAGTAAAAAAAAATAAAAAAGCAGAGTTTTCATACTTCCATGCAAGAGAACTGTGAAAAGTTTGCTGATGGGGGATACTGCAAAAGCATCTGAAAATGCATCTGTTTCCTTCCGTTCTGTTTGTACTTTCTGGTGTTTACTGTGGTCAATTCTCTTCACAACACTGTCGAGAGGACCTCTTTTCTGTTCAGGGTTGTTTTTAGACAGATTACAGTTTAATGGTATAAGTTCAGTGTCACAGAATAGACAGATTCATAGTTTTTATATTACAATAATTACAATAAATGTATGGGAATTCATAGACAGGTTTGTCAGGTTTTCATGAGGTCGGGTTCACACTCTTCACTGGTGTGATGAAGTAAGTGTGAAAAAACAAAGTTTGCTCAGAGTTGATACGACCACAAGTGAGCATTTCCCGTGAGAGAGGGGGCCATTTGCCTGTACTGGAACTTTCTATGCATTTGTTTTTTCCTTTTCCTTTTACATAATTTTGCACAGTCTAGCTGTTTCATAAAAACCGCATCACGTTTATTATGATTATTAACAATAAAAAGACAGTTTTTGCTCGTAAACAAATGCCATTAAATCAAAACATTTATTTCAAGGGTTGTATAATTATTATATAATATAATTTCAATTAAATTTCTGCATTCACTCTATTTCAGAGACAATTTTGTTTATGGCCATGGAGTTGAAAATCTATACTTGAAACAGCAACAGCATCATTTTTCATTTAACAGAGTGTTCCTGTTAAATAATAGATAATCCTCCAAACATGCAGCTCTAAAGGTACTTTAAAAGTGTTATTAGAGACAAAATGGTACACGGTGAGTGATCAACTTCAGAAAAGTGCATGTTCAGACTGCAAACAAAATTAGATTTATTTCTAATATGTTGGCATGTAGGCAGAAATCTTGTCAAAGACAGACAAAGGTGATCACCTTTTTCTAAACATTCAGGATTGTGTTTTTAATTTTGTAGATATTTGGGGAAATGATAGTTTTATCTAAATTTGTGATGGGCTGTTTTGGATAAGATGTTATTTGAATTATTGTGTAGCTTTAAAAGGATTTGACATTATAAAGTGAGTTGTTTATGTAAGTATTGTTCAGGAATGGTGGTCAATATCAGTCTGCCCTCTGGTGTTTTGTGTTAGAAACTACAACAAAGAGAGGTCGCTTTGTTATGTTGGGCCATGTTTTCCACCCAAATCTACACATACATTTCTTCAGTGATATAAACCAGTTCTGTCATTTGACATCTAATAAGCCTATCTGAATATTCTCAATATTTTTATTTTACAGTAAGTTTAATCATTTAGATCTCTATAAAACCTCCATTATGCTATTATTGTTGATACAGTAACATATATCTGCATTCTGTACATGTTGCTGCAGCTGTGTCCTCCGCGCTCGGCTTGTTCCTCCACACTTGTGTTTACCAGAAGAGGATTCCTCAACGGTTACCATAGTAACATCAGCGCCTTTCACCAGCAGAAATGAGCGTGGAGATCATTTTCCTGGGATTTACACCAAATCGTGGTACAAAGTAAAACAATTAGACAGTACAGTTTGGGGTATCAAAAAGATTTATTGATTTCTTTATTCACTTTAGTCACAAAAACACTGGAGAGGTTAAAAAAAGAAGATTTTGCAGATTTGTTTGTTATGATTGTTTCCATACAGGTAGGTAGGTAGCTCAGAGTAGTAAACAACAACACTGATGTTACATTACAGCTGATTATATTACAATAATAACTGCCTCTGCATGTTTTTCTTTTCACTGCAATGTGTATTTTATCATATCCCTTAATAATAATCTGCATAATACACATCTAAATGCCTCTTAATGTCAGTATGTCATGCACTGACAGTTAAAGATGAGGGTGCAATGCTGAGGAATGTTTTCTGTTACATGTCTGTCCGTTTGCCACCTAAATCTCAGCGATGGCAGGCAGCATGCAGGCTCGAGCACGTGCTTCTCTCCACGCCGCCCTGCAGTCAGAGATCCACTGTGACAGCAGCGACTGTTTGATGGTGGTGGTCTGTCTGTTCTCCTCTGCTCCTTCGTTAGCAAACCCCCCTCTCTTGGATAATCTTGTGTGTTTTGGAGAGATATCTGGGACAAGAGTGTTGGTGCAGGTGTGTAACTCTGGGCTGCTGCTCTTGCGTTGGCAGAGTATGTCAGGACTTGAAGCGCAGGGGATGCTGTGAGCTCTGGAGCGAGCCCTGCCCTCCCATACGCCCCTGTGATGTCTTCCAAACCCTCCCTCGACCAAAGCCCTCCTCACATTGCCTGTGTTGTTTTGGTGTCCGTAAAGATACTCTAGAGGGTCAGAATTTTCAAACATCAGCTCACCTCTGTGTTCTTTTCCTTTGTTTTGCTGCACATGGATTTCATGTGCCTCTGCTTCAGGCTTTGATTGAAATATGTTGGATGTGGTCTCAGTGATCCGTGACAGCCGAAGCCTTTGGTGCACGGTGTCCAGATGCTGTGAGTGGATGCTGTGGGGGGAGACATCCCTGCTGGGGAAGGTGGGATGAGCCAGGTGGCAGATGGAGAGGAGGTAGTCCTCTGAGGAGATGGCCTGGCACTGGCTGGAGGTGATGAGTGAGTTGGCCTCATTCAAATCCCTCACGGTCTCCTCTGAGCCCTCTCTGATGGTGGGCAGCAGGAGTCGTCTCTTAGACAGCAGTCTGGATCTTGGCCGCATGGCTGAAAGAAAAACAAAGTCGGATTTAGAGCCAAAAACATCTGTCAAATGTTTGGTTTACAGAAAAGCCAGAACAGAATGAAAGTGTTTGCCAAACCAGCTTTGTACTGACTTCCAAATTGAGAGGATGATATGGTTAGAGAGGTGCAACAAAGGCTTAGCCCACCTGCTTCTGCTTGATCTCCAAATCAGTAAGCTATCCATCCAAGAAAACATTTGATCCAACACAAGTATAATGTTTTGTCTGACATCATAATATGCCAGTACCTCACATGATAGTTTTGTTTCAGACATATTTTTACCCCACACATGAACATTTATCACGTAATTAATTTCTGTAAATAACCATTGCATTTTTATATCTCTCCCAGACTGTCTCCATTAAATTTATTCCACATGCAAGCCTTCCTCTTCTCCCTCTGACTCCCTCTCCATTTTCACACACATTGCCTGCTTACTTTGGAGTGGCAGTGCAAACAACCCAAAATACAAACAATTCCAGCTTGGAGGAGTGAGAGGCTTCAGAAATAGATGCTTCTTTTTAAATGCAGTCTCAGTCATGTAGAGCTGTGAAACGTGTCAGCTTTTATTTTTGTTATGCAACCCCATATTGTTATAACTGTGAGAGTAGACCACAGTGTATTTTGGTCTCCACCTCAGTGCCAAAAATAGTGCCTGCCAAACCAGAATGCCAGCCTCTCCCAGTTTCTTGCAAGGTGTAACCATTGCTAAATTTAGAGCGCACCTTCAGTTTACAGCGACTAAAAATGGGTCCACAGCAGCAGCTCTGCCCCGAAGCACAGAACAGGCTCTCTGTGTGTTTTGACCTTATGCATTTTCAGACATGATATTTATCTGCACAATTTGCTTTCCCACTAACCTTTGTCTCAGTCCAGTCCAGCTGAAGTTTTCTTCTTTCTGCTGCTCTTTCAGTGTCAAGTATCAAATAATCTGCAGCCTTTTTGCAGATGGTTGTGTTTTTGATTTATGATGCTCTGTCTCCAGCCAGTGATGCTCCTGCTTCTCCTCGAGCGCGCTCCGTAGCTCCAGCTGTCTCTGACCAGAGGCAGCAGACAGAATGCAGATTTATCTTCCCCTCACATCCCTCTTCATCCCTCCCTCCCTTTCTCTCTCTCTCTCTCTCTCTCTCTGTGCCTAGCTACTTTTGGTTTGCCCTCCTTCCCTGCTTCTAAAAATAGACACACCATCCATTTCCTCAGCCCCAGCTCTGTCATTGGTCGACCGAGTGATGGAGTGAGAAAAACAGAGGCAGAAGAAGAAAGAAGAAAGAGGGGAGAGACTGGGGTAGAAATGGATAAATAGCAAGGGATGACAATAAGGAGAAAAAGAGGGGAAAAAGAGGAGAACAGACATTGAAGTGTAGTTTGTAGCTTTGAAAAAATGCTGTGACCATGAGGGAACAGAGTCACCCCTCTTTAATTTGGGCAAATTTACCAAATTAAAGGATGCTCTTTGACAAGAAATCTGCAAATCATTGAGGGGATGTAAACATGTTTGACCTTAAAACACGCTGCGCTTGTAATGTGCATCAAGTCCGACCTACATGTGCGAGCCTTGCACATGTTTCTTGTGTGCGGCTTTAAGAAGCTTCACACCCACAGCAGTATGTGCTGCATGTGAGTCGTCCTTCTGTTTGATCAGTTCCTCTGTAATTTATTACCTCATTAAATATGCAATACAAACTCACACTGTTTGATCTGTTATCAACTGTTTGTTATATTGGCTGCTGATATGCTTTTAAAGCTCCTGTGAGGAGGTTTTTGTAGATGGTTATGAAACATATTATTAAAACTGACAGAAATGCCTTTTTATGATCTTAGAAAGCAAATAAGACCATCCACAATGACATTCACTGTCCCTGAATTGTAGTTTTAAATGATGTACTGCTGTAAGAGGAAGAGCCAGACCTGATGACCTGAAGTAAAAGCCGTCCTCTATTCACACGAGTAAAATAAGTCTGGTGATAGAAACGGGACAAGATCAGAAAAAGAGAAAAGAGGTATCATTTGACCGCATGAGGTGTCAAAATTAACAAGAGCAAAAAGTTCCTCACAGGAACTTTCAGAATCAGAATCTGCGTTTTTGGTGAGGTTTGTGCACACATACAAGGAACTGGACTCTGGTTAACTTTGCCCTCTATGTGCACACATTTAACATAAAATGTTACAAAAAATGACAGAAAAATGACAAAAATTACAAGGTATGGAAACTTGCTATTTAAATTAGAAATACAAGACAATAGTGCAATAGATTCAGTAAGACTTTTTGACTTTAGTAAGCTGCTACTTTGTTTGATTTTGCAAAGAAACTTTGGGTAAAGTGTGCACTCAAAAATGCCACACGGACTGGGTGTCTGGGCAAAGTTTGACAGAAAAACAATGATTATCAAAGCAGAAATTTTGAGCTCAAAATAGTACTTCCGCTCGCATGGAACTGGACAAAAGGAGAATCCGTTTTGGAGGATTTAGGGCAGACATAAAGAGGGTTACATAAACCAAAAAGATCTCCCCTGGGTGGCCTTTTGACGAAATCAGTTGTTATTTTTGTCTCCCTTAAGAAGAAAGATTCGATCATAAATGGGCCGCAGGTGGTTAGATGGAGGAAACACAGCTTTATTTCCCCTCCTCTTTTCTAATGATGAATGTCTTTTCCATTTAAGGGCTTGTTTCTTTGACACTCACGGTGTGAAGGTTCTGACTGCATTTGACATTTTTCATATTCAGGCCTTTGAACTGGTGAATCAGGCAGGGATGTATTCAAACATGACACAATACCTATCTTGCGTTTATTTAATCAGTGACTGTAAATAAAGCACTTAAAGGTTTCTTCTTCTATAAAGTAATCATGATGGTGATTAAAGGCCAACCAAATACATATCAGTGGAATGGCTGTTAAATATGTTTGTTTAAATAAAGTTGTTAAGGTGGAGAGGATCTATTTTGCTAACCAATGTTATGATGGCAATGGAAATCCAAATATTTAATCAGAGACCTGAATGTGCAGACATCGTCATGTTAAAATGTGATTACTATGTCTGTGACCAATCATAGGACAGCTTACCAGCGGAGTTAAACACGGAAACAAGCTGCTTCAGATCTCTCAATCTGGGAAAAAGAGAGTTAGTCTGCCTGAGCTTTGTGTGTATGCTTGAGTGTGTGTGTCTGAATCCTGGGGGCAGCATGACCCCTGATGAGTCAGATGTGTAATTTCTTCATCGCATCAGACCTATAAAAAGATTACTTGCATTTTGCGGCTCTCTGCAGAGGCAGTCACAAGGAGCTAAATTTGTCTCAAAGAAAAACTCACAGGCACACACGCACAGCCGTGGCACGTGGCATTGTGCAGCGCTGCTCTTAACAGACTCTTCGGCACCACACTGACTGCAGCCATCAACGTGCTTTCCTGAAAAACACCAGGCACAACATCAAACAGGCTTCAGTCTTTTAATACAATCACACAATGATGGACTCCAGCTCAATACCACTCTATTTAAGAAATTAAAAGGAACAAAAATGATGATGAAGACCTCTCATGGTCCTCATTAAGTGGGGATAAAAAACCCTGGTAGAATATTTTTAAGGGTGTCTTTCTCTGTCCTTAACTTGGTAAGTGACTTTTGAAATACCTTTCTAGTGGACCCACAGTGGTGAATTGCCCACCAGGGTTCACTTCCTGTTGAGAAAGTATGATAAATTGATATTTTAGTTCCTTTATCTCCACTGTCGCACAAACAGCTTGGGGGCATCCCTCAAGGATCAATTCATGGTCCCTTCTGTTTTCTCTGTATATGCTATCTTTACGTCATATTGTTCCGCATCTTAATTTATTATTTCACCACTATGCCGATGATACTCAGCTTTAACAGTCCCTTAAACCACATGGATAACCACACCACAGAGCTGGAGGGTTGATTAAAGAGATTAGGGCTTACAAAGTTTCCTCCAGTTTATCTCCAAAAAACCAAGTCCTTACCACTGGCTTAAGCATCTCTAGAACCAGGATGTTAAGCACAACTTTGAACAAAACGCACCAAATTATCTTTGTAACTACTTGGTAAAATACAGCTATATGCAATACTAATGCTATAGCCAGACAGCATGAGTACTCCACTGTGACAGGCTGCATATAGGAAAATTTACAGATTCCGAAATTTGCGACAATAACCATAATAGTCCAATAATAACCAACAACAGTCTTTTTGCCCATGTCAATATATTTGATGTCAAAAAAATAAATAAATAAAAGTTGGTTTTGGATGTGTGTAAGTAGGCTACGGTCTTATGTCCCTTTAAGATGGCTGAAGTAGACGAAGTTAATGTGGGAGGGGGTAAGCAGCTTGTGGAGTAGTTATCGTCCATTTATCCTTATCGAGGAGAACTGCTCAATATATCGTGATATTGATTTGAGGCTATATCGCCCAGCCCTAGATGCACACAAGGTTAAACACAAACAATGCTTCTTTCGTCTATTAACACTTTGTGTGCATTCACATCTCCTTTGAGCTGACATCAAAAGCCTAAAATGTAAAATGACCTGCTAATGATTAATGATCTATCGAGTATGATCGAGTGTTTACAAGCTCACTCATATAAAAAAAAAGTTTCCCAGGTAATCTTTTGTATGAATGATAATAAACAAAAACGTGACGGTTTTAGGAGAGATATGTTCTTATATCCAAAAACAAAGGGTTAAACTCTCCCACTCTGGTTCAGTATGCCTCTCCTTTCTCTCCTGAACCTCCTTCCACCCACCTATGGCTCAGTAGGAATTAGCTACAGGAGGATAGTCAAGTTTTATAGCAAGTGGTGTGAAGGCAGTGAGTTATTGATATTTCACATACAAGGGTGGTTAATGAAAACGCCCTGAAGTTTGAGCCCTGCTATTGATTTTTATTCATCAAGGCTTCAACCACCAGGGGGATTCTGGGAAATGAATGTGAAGTCATCCTCTAAAGGCAGAGAAGGTTTCTCTCAAATGATCTCTAATTCTTCCAAGAAACAGTCACTTTGAAATATTTTTAGAAACAGATCATGAGGGTACCTGCGTGCATTATTTAGTCATAAACACAGTTACAGAAAAACACAACATGCAAATTTCTGAATGTATGTCTATAGTGTTTGATTATTGTCTTTTAAATTTATCAAGACAAGACAAGACACTGAGTCAACAGTGCAACATGAGTGCAAACTATCACTAAAAGGTTTGATTAGCCCTTCTTTGAAACATATTATAATAATTACCATTGTTTCCATGGTAACACTGATGGAGGACTGCTGGCTTTGATTTTGAAATCACTGTACTTCATTATTCTTTATCATTGACCTCTTGCACCCTGAAGTTAAAGCACAAATATAGTACTCCTGTTTTTAGTCAGTTTGAACAAAGTCAGAATAAACTGTCTCTAATATTTAAGCCTTTTTTTTCATTTAAAAAATCAAAATCCTTTTTTTTTTTTTAACTTGAAGCAAGTTGAAAACGACATTTAAATGTTTTTCACCCCCCTTTCTAATATGTATTCACATATCTGTTTTTAGATACTTTGTATAATGGCAAAAGAAGTCTGCTGGGGTGGATAAACATAACAAAAATCAAATTACAAGGGTATTTCTTACATCAAATGACATGGGAAATATATTTAGATGTCAAAGGTTTCTGTTGTTTGAAGGATCAAATGGTTTTTCTTATTGTGTTTGGCATAAAAAACAGTTCAGCAAAACTGTTGTTTCTAAGAGGAGGAATAAATAGGACAAACCTGGAGAAGAGCAAATAACTCTCATGTGACAAAAAGTGTTTTTATATCTTCATCATCCATGCACTTCATTAAAAAAAAAACATCATTGCTTTTTAAAAAATCCCAGAACTAATTGATGAACTTTCACAAGCTGAATTCAACTTCTGTCCTCTGAGCTAATTTTCCCTGAAACCACAGTAATGTATCGGTTGAACTTTGAGAATTCAAATGTTGGACTCTGGTAATTTCTTTTCCGGGGTAAATTCTAAGTACACAGCTCTCTTTGTCCCTCTTCTAAAGGGTAAATAGTAAGCATTACTAAGCAGATCTAATTTTAGGGTTAAACATTACTGGAAAATCTGTGTATGAGTAATCTAATACTCTTAAGCCAGTCATGATATTTAGATATTTAACGGTTAAAGAATAGTTAAAATAAAATAGTGATGGGGACAACTTACAAAGACAAGTTCAGACAACAAATAAAAAACGGAAGAAAACACTTTGAATTCTCAG